CGGAATACAACACCTCATGCCCAACCCCCACAATTCCGTGCTGCATTTGCTCTGCACAGATCTTCCCCCTCGTCCATCGGCACTCACCTCTCAGAAGGCCTCACATGCATTCAGCGAAGATCCTCCGAACGAGACCCTTCGTACACTCTTCGGTGGATGTAGCGCCGGACATCTAGAGTGCCCTCCTTGCGTCCTTACATTATACCTCTATCTACGACCTCTCCTGCATGCTATCCCACACCTGTAGTCAATATCAGCATGGTTACAGCGGTCCCCGACGAAAATCTGCTTTCAGGAGGCCTGATCCAGCGAATCCGGATAATTTTGGACCTCCCGATGGCCTGATCCAGAGTCCGGCCAAATTTGAGCGAAAATCGGGAGGCCTGGTCAAATCCGGACGAATTTGGCCTCAGACAAGGCCTGATCCATCGGACAATTTTGGCCGGATTCAAGGATTTTGGATCATACATTTGGGCCTATTGCCGGGGGTCCTTCAGTAGTTCATCATCTTGTCCATACCGTCCATTCTCGGCCAAAGCCACCTTCGACCCTGACCATGCGCGCAGTCTCCCCGTCGGCGGCACCGCGTCTAGTTGTGCAGGCCCTTGACGCGTCCTTTGACCCAGACGTCCTTCAGGGGCACCGCCCACACGCCTGGGTGAGCCGTGGCGTCCCTCTTCCACTCCGTCACTAGGTCCCTCGCCTCCACCGGCGGCACGTTCTTGTCCCTCGTCCCCACCGTGATATGCAGCCGCTGCTTCACCTCGTCTGGCAAGTGGAGCACGAACTGCACCGCCTCCTTGTCTACCTCCCCCGGGTCGTCTGCAGCGACGGCGAGGTCGACCACCGTCGCCGCCATGATACGCTCGCTCCACACGACGTGCTCCAGGCGGAAGCTGAACAGCGGCGGGCGCGGCAGGGCGTCGACCGCACGGCACAGCTCCCACAGCTCGCCCTCCTTCGGGAGCGACTTGGAGTGCACGACCGTGACGTGCGGCCGCTTCTGCACCCGCTCCTCGCGCACGAGGTCGTCCCAGAACTTGCGCGCCTCGGAAGGTAGGTTCCCCACCGCGCCCTCGATCGCGGGCCCGACGACGCCCTGCAGGTCGACTTCTGCGAGGATGCCGTAGTACCGCGGAGGGCTTTTTGCCTTGCCGGCCTTCTTGCTCGACGCTGGTGGTTGCGCTTGCTCTGCCTTATCGGCGCTGTCCTTGGCTGCTTTCCTGCCTGCGCCGCCGCCTCCGCCGATATCTGCACGCCTCTTGCCCCTGCTGCGCGGTTCGTACGCGCGCGCAACCGCCAGCGCCTGGCCCATGCGCTCGGGATCTGGCTGCTCCTTCCCGAGGTACTTCACGATCGCCCCGACTGCCCGAGCCAGCGCGTCCTCGAGCGGCTCCTCGACGTCCATGCTGACGACGACGTCCGCCTCGGAGTCCTGGAGCTCCTCGGCCCGCTTGAGGAACTGCCAGATCACGTCCTCGTGCGACTTGCCTGATAAATCGGCGTGGAGCGATTGGTGCTTGTCCCCGCGCGCGACGATGCGGTCGCCGCAGATCCGGTGGACCGTGGACAGCGGGAGGTCGAAGGACCAGTCGAGAGCGAGGAGCCGTGCGGGCGGGCTGAACTTCTGTGCGGCCTCGCGGAGCTGGTCGCGGTGCTGCTTCAGGTGATTGTTCCTGGTGTGTGAAGAGTTCAGTAGGGGCTCCGCAATAATCTTAGACAGCGTGTAAAGAGAGGACGACTTACTTATCAGCGATAACGACGTCGTGCGTCTTCAGAGCCTGGACGACGTTCTTGATAAAGATCGGAGCGGCCTTCTTCGCCGAAATGTCGTCGCTTTGAATGTGCCCGAACCCGAACAGATGCTGGAGCGCGACCGCGATCGTTGTTTTACCTGCAGCACCATGTTTCCGTGTGAGACCGACAAGGCACAAAATGTTATATCCTGAACAACAGGAAAACATGAGGGCTCACCAACGCCAGGGACTGCTACCGGCATGATAATGACCTTGCCCTTCATCAGATCCACGTCCTGCGCAAGGCCCGTCTCCTCCGGCACCTTCTCCGCCCCGACCTCCGCCTTCTTCCCCTCGTGGCTCTCCTTCCACTTCAAGAACCGCTCCCGCGTCGCGATGATGCCCTTGCCCTTGTTGAAGCCCTCGAACTGGCTCCTGTCGCGCTTGATCTCGCCACACACCCACTCGACGTACAGCTTCGTCTCCGGGCGGCGCAGCTTCCCCTTCGGCACGTTCCCCGGGCTCGGGCCCCTGCCCAGCAGCGTCCTCGTTACTTCGCGCCAGTCGCGGTACATCAGATAGGGCTCGTCGAACTTGACCTTGAAGAAGAACGACGACCCCGCGGGGTAGGGCGAGAGCGACGCGGGCTTCTCGCCCCTGGTGGGCGGGACGGTGACGTGCGTGCGGACGACGAAGCCCTCGAGGGCCTCTCCGTTCCACTCACCCAAGCGCGCGATCTCCTCGGTGAAAGCTTTCACTTCGGGGATGGTGTTGAGGACGGTGGACGCGGTGGGGATGAAGCCCCATTCGCGCGCGAAGGCGTCGACGACGGGCTGGGGCTGCGTTTGAAACGCGCCCGTGCAGGCGTTGAGGCCGTGCAGGTGCAGGCCAGTTTTTTCTGCGCTGATGGGAAGGACGTGCTCCTCGAAGGAGTCGTCGCAGAGCTATGCACATACAACTTTGTTCACCCTTCAGCAGATCAGGAATGCATGAGATAGGACACACCTCAGCGACTGCAGTCCAATTCTTCTCCCATAGGGTCTGCGCGAGCTGCTCCTCGGTCTTGCCGGCTGCCGCGAGGTGCTTTCGCAGCCACCGCTCGCCGACTTCCGCGTGCGACTTCGCGCCGCTGCTGCCTGGGCTAGGTCCGAGAGAGTGCTTGGAAGTGACGAGGAGCTTCGTAGGCGTGAGGGCGGCAATGAATATGATACATCCATTTGACTTGAGGGTGAGGGTATACGGAGGAGCTGTGTGTGACTCAAGTGCAGCCCACTGATTTGGGAGATCAGCGTCGTCCGCACGGGTCGGCAGCAATGGCAATGGCACGCGACACTGGGGATAGCAATAGGATACTCACCGTTGTCCACGGTACCTCACCGATATTGAAAAACTTGTCGTATCCTCGCGCGACAATCCGATGCTTCGTCTTCCCGGACGCGTTCTTGACGTCCTGCGTGAAGAGACCGCGCGCGAGGGTTGGGAAGGGAGAGGGGATATCATAGTACTTGAATTCGTTCATCTTCCAGCTCCGTACGAAGATGCTGGGAATCGCAGGTGCCTGATACTCGGTCGATTTGACGAGCTTGGGGGCCTTTTTGGACAGGGTCTTGAGGGCTTCAATCAGTTCATGGTCATCCTGGTCGATTGTGACGGATGCGAACAGCTGCTGTAGCTCCTCAATATGCGCTGGCTGCTGTTCGCCAGCGACGACTGGCGGAGGGGAGGGTGATTTGGGAGAGGCCATGTTAATTTGGTAGATGTTCCACTGAGAGGGGTCAAGCGTGCGAGCCACCGAGGGTGTGCGTGGTCTTGACAAAGGATTCACGAATACCAAGTCCCCGAATGCCTCAATTGTAGCACCGCGGAGAGCGGGACGTTGGAAGGCGGTGGTGACGAGGTTGCGTGCGTGGATGATGCGGGGTAGGATGGCGGAACGCTCTAGACACGGAGAGCTTCTGTTCAGGATGCTGCAGCTGAAGCTGAAGCTGCAGCTATATATCTTGCGCGCGTCCGGGAGTTCTGACTCGACTGTCCTCGTCGAGCAATGTCGGAGGTCCGAGCGGTGAGTTGGAAAGAGTCAATATCATCATAGGCGAGCTGATGGCGGTCCTGTGCATGTCGAGTACGCCCTGCCTGCGGGCGCGTCGTTCTGACCGCTCGCAATCCACTTCTTCCGTTCTCCTTCCAAGCACACCCTCGTATCGTCTGCGCCTCTTGACTGCGCTTGCTATCTCGCTGTATTCTTCCCCGTCCAGCTTCTCTGCTGCGAACTCGACGACTAAGCTTCAGCCACCATCCACTGTCTTACCCTCGCCGCTCAGCGACTTTATCATAGTCCCTCTGCACCGTTCGGATCGTACTCTTCGGACTTGTTGTAGTTTACTCAAATACCCTTGGACCTACATTTCATATACCATGGATGATGAGACTGCTGAAATCGAGCTGGTATGTGCCACATCGGGATCCACCTGCCGCTGGCCGTGACTGTCTTCTGCAGCTTGAGCAGAACCTCAACAAGACTAGGCAAATATCACAGCGTATGACTTGTGAGTGTCGCTAAGCTCCCAATGCGGGCGGCTCGCTCCATGTTTCGGTAGCGATCCTATCCAGCTTCGATACTCGACTGGTAAAACTTGAGAAGTCTATCCTCCCGCTCTACACCTCCACACAGCTGCTCACGAGAAGAGCGAACAGTACGTATGGGCCGCTCGCTCAATCTGGTCCTTTATAACCTTGCCCCAGATATCGACAATACATTGCAGAAGATTGACGAGATCGCGAGCTACCATGAAGGCGTTGCAGCGGAGGAGGCCCTGATCTTACGAGGGTACGCACTTCCCGCCCAGAGTATATTGATGGCGAGTCTGAACAATGTCATGAAGTCCTCAACCAAACCAACTCACTGCATACACTGAGGTGCTGGAGCGTATGAACGCGAGCGTCGCATTCAACAGCGCAGACTCCCGGGACAAAGTACGCTTACACCGGCCTCGTCGCCATGTTGCCTCTGACCCACAGCGCGCAGGCGCGTCTCGTAGAAAGCGGCGCGAAGAAGCTCATTCAGCTGTACACGAAGCTTGTCGCGGAAGGGTCGTCGGGCGTACCACCCGGCGGCGCCGAGTTCTCGTCCATACCGTTCCCCGCGCATCTCCTTACGACCCTTCGTCCGCTTGTCGCTTTCCTCCGTACGCTCCCACTACCCGCGACGTACCCATCGCATCCGGCTGCGCCTGGGATACAATCCGCATTAAAGGATGCACAGAAGGGGTATGGCGATATGCGTGGAGCTTGGGTGCGGAAGTGCCTGGAGACGTTCGGGAAGCGGTTGGTCGATAGGGCGGAGACTATCGACGGCGTTGCTGCAGGTCAGGAGGTGGGCAGGTGGACTGAGAATATGCTCAGTGTCGCAGAGGTACGTTCATCTCGTTCGACTCCCTCTTTTGTTGTAATCAGAACCTCCCCCCGGGTTTTCACAGGAAGAGTACGACCTCCTACTCGAACTCGCTCCGCTGAACGCCCCGAACGCCCTTAGCTCAACATACGCCACCCTCATCTCTCCACTCACCTCTCTCTTCACCTCCACACTCGGGTCGCTCGGTTCCCTGATCAAGCGCAACCTGAATAGGAATACCTTCTTTGCGCTGTCCGCTTACTCCTCGCTAACTTCGCTAGGAGCGCGGTGGAGCGACGTCATGACGCGGCGAGCAGATCGCAAGGAGAACGAACTGAAGGACGGCCTCCATTCCATTCGCGCGTCGTGCCTGCGTAGTTTCCCCGAGGTCTTGGCCGATATCCGGATGGCAGGTTTGGGGAAAGGCGGAGAGATCGGGACTGGGCTCGCAGAGTTCACAATATCGGTGTGTCTACTGTCACTGGAGTCGTCCCCGCTTGTTTCTCATATTCCGTGGACGACAGACCGTCCAGTACCTCGAGCGATTATTGGCAGTGCGCGATGCTGCGGCGTCGGCGCTTCTGACCCTTGGTGACGGCAACTGGAAGATGGGCGAGGGGACGCAGGTGGGCAAGACGAAGGCTGCCGACGTCGACGAGCAAACCGTGCTCGAACATTTCACATGTGCGTCCCACGTCTGCCTCGCCTTCCTTCCCCTCTCCTTCCCCTCCGCGTATGCGCTGACCACCCCAATGCGACACAGACGACGTCGTCAACGCCGTGATCCAGTCTCTGATTTCGCTCTCGCGGACGAGCAAGCGCCCCGCGTTCGGCGCGATCTTCCTGCTCAATAACGTCTCCTTCCTCCGCACGCAGCTCCTCGTTGAGCGCTCGGACGTGGCCGCGATCCTCTCGCGCCCGTCGCAGGACCTGCTCAACTCCAACTTCCGCATCGCCAAAGCGGGCTACTTCGAGGCCAACTTCTCGCCGCTCCTCCAGACGCTCATCGACGAGAAGGACAAGGGCAAGAGCGCGGTCAAGGAGAAATTCACCCGGTTCTTCGATCTGCTCGACGAGGTCACGGAGCGGCACCAGATGGCGCGGGTGCTCGTGGACGACCCGGATGGGCGGGCGACGGTTGCGGACGAGGCTGTCAAGCTCGTCGTGCCGTCGTTGCAGAGGTTTATTCAGCGGAATCTCGGGAAGGAGTTCAGCAAGAGTGAGTGCGCTGATCTCTCAGACGTCAGGGCTTATGCTGATGTGTCTCCTCTTCAGACCCACAGAAGTGTATGTGTTTCGTGATGGAGACGTCAGCACGGGGTTGGGTCTGACACACTCTGTAGACATCAAGATGCCTCCTGAGGATGTCGAGAACTTGATCAAGGGGTTCTATACGTAGGTCTCTTATCTGAGTTCATGTACTCGAGCGCTAACTTGTGGATGCCTCGTTCAGCGGTGGCACAAGCACACTGCCATTGCCTCCACCACAGGAGAAGCTCACTAACACCCTATTACAACAAGCTGGATGGGGCTGGTAGTTATTAGAGTATATCATCACGGCTAGGTCAACGTGTACAACATCTGCGGAGCTCATTGTGATTCATCGTCTGAAACGTTCTTGTCATTGTTGCTAGGCCCCCAATAGGATTCGCCATAGTCGAGCAGGAGCTCTCGGCCTTTCTTCACAAGTTTTTTCCCTGCTCAACACCATTAGCTGTGAGGCATACTCCAAGGTAGAGATAATTCACCGGTCGTGAAATATATCTTGACATCTCCATCAACATTAATTTCTGTAGCTGGGAAGTAAGGATCTATCAGCTGTATTTTGGTGTCTCAAGACTCACCCTCCGCTGCTGCATTGGGTTTAGTGCCTTTTGGGGGATGATTCAAGCACCGAGTAGGGTCCCCAACTGTGGCAGCATCAAGGACAGAGTCCTGATCACCGTTGAGACCAAACAGATAATTCAACCCCCTATGCTGGAAGACCATTTTTTGTGCTTCGTCTGCCCTGTAAGTCGCTTCAGCTACACCAAAGGAACGCAGTAAACGTGTGGCCAGACCTATCCCTTGCGCGCTGAGTTAGAGGCATGGTGAAGTACTCTCCAATATACTCTAATATTGCGTCAGCCACGGCATGCTTGCGATACGTAACCATGGAACATACCCCCAAGTAGGCTCTCTTTGGGAATATCACTGGTAGCAAAGGTTCCTAACCCAAATGAACCCTGATAAACCGCAAGCTTCTGATGCACAAGTTCAGATGTTTGTATGGTGGAAAGGGTGGCGCCTCTTACCTTTGGCATTCTTGTTTGTAGTGTCATGAATGAGCATCTATGCTTGCTCCTCTTCTTTCCCTTTGCCTTCATTCCTGTCACTTCTGTTCAGGTCACAAGTCACACTGCCGACCAAATGAGCACATGGCTTACTGCATTGGCGTCAGCTTCTGACACTATTGGTCGAGATGGATGTCATACTGACCTTGAAATGCAGAATTCAGGGCTACATTCCATACCCCTTAAATGACAGGGGCAGGTTTCCTTGATACAATCTCTACACCGGCATCCGATAGCTCGCGTCGATTGGCCTGACACCCGTCAGTATCGATGGACGTCAACACCTATTGACTTACATTGACATCTGCATCGTCTTTGGCACTTATGCTTCTTTCTCGAACAAATGCACCCGTTCCAAACTTCGCAAGGGCCCTTATGAATGCAAAACGGAAGCCTGTATACTCGTCAGTCCACCCAAACAGCCAACGATGAGGGCAGCTGGGGATTACTTCGCTAAAGCGCTCGGATGCCACCTAGGCGAGAAAGAATTGGGTATGTCTTCGTCCGGAAGGACAAGCTCCCTGTGGACGAAAACCTGATATGGTATTCAAAAAAGGGTACACGTGCACTGTATATCGGGCTTACAGCGATACAAGTAGTCTTGCATAATTTAGCAATTGTGCAGCTCGATTCGTTGGGGAACAACTTGAGCGCTTCATATATTTCCTGGTTCACTTCTACAACATCCTGCGCTCGTCATGAGTCAGATTAGTCTCTGTTGAGGTTGGCATTAGCTGCGATACTAACAGGATATTTCTCGGCCTCTCGTGAGCGGAAGCAATTCGGACCACATATAGTCACCCTCCGGAGGTCCTTGTGATTCCCGGTGGCGGGATCGAGGGCAAAGGGCGGATAGCGCTGCCCTACCCAGATTTCATCAGAGACGGAACCAGATAGGACATTCTGATGCTACCATACTTACTGTGCAGCATGCACAAGGCTTCGTGACAATTTGCGCTAGCACAAAACGAGGTCGTCATATCGTCCACAGATTTACCAAGGTGCGGCGACGCCGACGACGGCCGGAGTTTATTCAGCGCAGAGACCTGAGCGGATGAGTCGGACGAGTAGGAGTCTCCCCATTGGAGGAGATCACTGGATATATTGACGCGTTGTACATGTTCACTAACGCTACGAAGACAACGCCCGTATACGGAGCGAGAGAAAACATACCGATGGTGCATGGAAGCGCTCAACCCAGACGAACCATCAATTGAAGGGAAGAAGTCCACGGAGTATTGATCCAGCACCTCCGGGGAGAGTCCAGCACTGTGAAGTCTGTAGACAGCCTCCAGAGCGATGAGCTTGACTGCAGACAGTTGATTAAACCATCAATGAGGGGAAATCGGTAGATAGCGACTTACAGTCAACGTCATACCACGAGTGCTGCCAAGCAAATACGTCGTGCTTCCGGGCGAACTCTTCGAGATCATGCTGAAGGAAGCTAGGATCGTCATAGGGCATGTACTGTAGGATCCTAACGTCTAGCTCATGCTTGATGTTCCGTGTCGCCGGTGTGCATGACTCATACTTCGGGTAGGCGCAATCCTTACAAGGAGGAAGGGAGGTTTCTTCCATGGCACCGGCGTTGTAGATCACTTCATCGTAATCGACAATCCACTGCTCATATAAGACACGATTGCCCTCCCCTTCTATGGAATTGTCGACATCAGATAGATCTCCGAAGTCCGAGAGAAAGTCGTCGAGGGCAAAGGCAGACGAAGGATCAGTAGTCCGCAGGTTCCGCAGCGTTCGCTCACAATATGCCGGCTCCCAAACGTAGTACTGCTGCCATGTGTCTCGATAGGCTGCTTGTATCTGCTCTGGAACGCGCGCAAGCTCACGGATGCGCTCCGCATATCGCTCGCGCAAAACAACGTCGAGTTCTTCATCAGAATGGGGCGTAGAAGTCCGAGTGGTCGAAGGAGGCGTTTCCCGCGTAGACATTGTCGTTCAAAGAATGCAGGAGGTGCGCTGAGACAGGTGGGGGCGTAACTAGAGCAAGGACAGAGGAAGAAAGAAGAGGACAAGCGTTGGCCCACGCAACTGCGGCACATACGAGTCCTTGAAGCAGTGACGGGCATGAGTCACAGTGTGACACAATGTCACAGTATCCGAGGGCCTACCGACTCAAGGACTCGAGCAACGACCACTACCGTCTCCGCCGACGTCAGGATCCTCTTCGAGGCCTTCACTTCGTCCGTCATGGCCGAGCGTCTCAATCCTAACATGCTATTTGCGAATTTCAACCAAGACTTCACGTGGGCCTTGTACAAATCATCCTATTGAATGACGTACTGAACACACCCATACAGGTGCGTATCCGTAGGGACGAAGAAGGGTTATAGCATCACCAACTGCGACCCTTTCGGACGGGTGTATACAATGAGTGCGTGTACTATGCATGGCTTTCTCCTCCGCTGACTTGACTGATCCACGGTAGACGACGGAGCACGAGGGATTGTCGAGATGCTGTTCTGTACATCCTTGCTCGCCTTGGTCGGCGCTGCGGACCATCCGCAATCTAGTCCACGGAAGCTCCAGATCGTCAATACTAAGGTGTGTATGATCTCGAACACACTCCGTTATACCCCGTCATGTTGGAGCGCTGTCCTCCGGCACTGTGACCTTGCATTGGATAGTGCGCACGCTCTCAGTGAATCCCTGGGGTGCCCTCTCTTCCGCATCGGAACCGGCCTCTCATGCTTCTTTTCTCCCTGCACGCACAGAGGCAATCGATGATCTGCGAGCTTCTTTTCCCCTCCTCCATCCTCGCCGTCAAGCTCAACCGCAAGACGCTCGTCATCGTCCTCGAGGTCGAGATCTACATCTATGATATTTCGAACATGAAGCTTCTCCACGTAATTGAGACGACGCCCAATCCAAACGGTGAGTACTTTCATATATCCTCACGCGTTCGTTCCGGTACCTATATCCTGCCAAGCCATCGTCGCCCTATCCCCTTCCGCCGACAACTCTTACCTCGCATACCCTTCCCCCGTCCCCTCACCTGCTCTCTCCCAGGCGTCAGCGACGCAACAGCCAAGCCCGCCCGCCACCGCGCCCTCGACGGGCGACGTCCTCCTCTTTTCCACGCGCTCACTCACTGTCGCGAATGTCATCCAGGCGCACAAGTCGCCCATCTCTTTCCTCTCCATCAACTCAACTGGCACCCTACTCGCGACCGCCTCCGAGAAGGGTACGGTGATCCGCGTTTGGAGCATTCCGGGGGCGGAGAAGCTTTATCAGTTCCGGAGGGGCACGCGCGAGGCGCGCATATACTCGATCAACTTCAACATCGTCTCCACGCTGCTGTGCGTAAGCTCCGCGCACGACACCGTGCACATATTCAAGCTTGGGCAGGGGCAGGGGAGGGGGTCTGGGGTCGGCGCACAGAGCCCTTCCAGCCCGTCGGGATCTATCGACAGCAGGGAAGGGTCTCAGGGTCTGGACGGCGGATACGAGGCGTATGTGGACAAGAAGAAGGGTAGCAGTGTCTCGTATGTGGATCCCTTGCTGAGCGGTTCTTTGACGCATATTGACCGCTTCTATGCCTCAGATCAACATTGCGACGGAAATCACTACATCTCACAAAGAATTTGACGTCGTCTGTTGGCGGCTACTTGCCCAACACGCTCACTGAGATGTGGGAGCCCTCACGAGATTTTGCCTTCTTGCGGTTACCCACCAGCGGTGCTCGGTGTATTGCGGCGCTTAGCGGGTGAGTACTCGGGGTCGAGTGTCATCGTTTATCGTAATCGCTCACTTGCTTTTGTAGGACGATGCCACAGGTTATGGTCATCTCATCGGAGGGTTACTTCTATTCCTACAATATTGACCTAGAGAACGGCGGCGAGTGTTCGCTTATGAAGCAGTATAGGTATGTGCCCTCATCGCCGTCCCCCTGCTGATGGATGGCTGACTATAAACACCTATGTAGCCTGCTGGACTCGAACGATGAGACGAATGATTGAGCGATCGTGGAGCAGAGCCGCGGGAGATATCGCTTCCACGATGGATCCGTAACCCTGTGGTATTCATTCTCGCCCTCGTTCCTGCTTTTCGTTTGTGTCTTGCGTCCTCATCGTGGCCGTCTCGTTCATCTCATATGTTGGAGGACTGTGGTATGCTGATGCGCTTGTTACGACTTGCATGATACCGTAGCGCCACCATACTTGTAATCATTAGCATTCTCGGATATAGCGGCCGTAACTCGTCTTCTGGGCAACGCCCAGTCTACGTGTGCTTTGCTTGTGCTGAAGACTTGATGCACTGCTAACGAGTGCACTATGGGCATGAAGCTCATGGTCACGTGCACTCTAAGCAGGTAAGTACTTCTTTTCGGGCTGCATCCCTGCAGCAGCTATGCCGCAGGCACATTGGATTTTGGGTCTCGACAACGAAGGGCATATGATTCATCCGTACATTAACTAGTCGTTACAGAACGTGAAGGCATCGTAAGTGAGTACTGCAGGGTAAGCTCGATCTGCAGAAACGTGGCGAACAGCTATACCAACCGCGTATCCAAGCTCAGGCATTGTTTGGTCCAGTGGTAATCCGATCCGATGTTCCTTTGCATTCCGAAGGGCGCCGTAGCACTTTTACTCGTCTCCTCGGTGCGCCAGGAACACGCCCATGTCGCTGTTCCGCGAGTCGCTCCGGCGGAAGCCAGCGCTCGGGAAGCCAGCGACGGGCAGGTATTCGCTCCTTTTCGCCGCCGCCCGCACGACGCCGTCGTCGTCCTCCGCTGGGTCGGCGTGCATCTCCACCAACGCCCCGCCAGCGACGAGGAGGTCCGAGGAGCCAAAGTCGCCCGGGAAGCCCTCGAAGTCGTCCTGCGCGCCGCCGGGCCCGGGGGAGACGATGCGCGGAGCCGCGAACTGGGGGCGCTCCGAGGGCGGGGGAGACGTGAGCGAGGACGCGGTCGCGGTCGTCGCGGACTGGGAGGACGTCGAGACGGAGAGGGACTTGCTAGACTTGGACTTGCGCCGCTTCTTGCGCTCCGTCACGTTCGCGGTGCTCGGGGACGCCGGCGACGGGGGCACGCTGTCGGCGTCCTGCGAAAGCGGGGACAGCGGCGAGCGCGGGATGCCGGGGATGTGCGTCGGGGCCTGCAGCGAGGCGAGGAACTGGTGGTTGTACGGGGCCGCGCCCTGCCCGGCGGGGACGTAGGTGTATCCCTGGGAGCCCGTGCCGCGGCTGGAGGACGAGCGGGTGTCCGAGGTGGACATCGTGCCGGCGCCGTTCAGGGACTTGCCCTTGCTTTTCCGCGGGCGGGAGGTGTACGACTCGCCGCCGAAGTCGGCGCCGTCTGCTTCGGCTTCGACCGCCTCGCGTGCGGCCTCGGCTGCGTCGGGGTCGAAGGGCTCGACGGGCTGGCCTTGGGCGAACGGCCCGAACTCTTGCTGGGAGGAGGTGATGGAACCCGAGCCTGTTCCCGTCCCAGAGCCGGCACTGGGGCTGAAGGGCGACGTGACGCCAAACACGGGTCCACTTCCCTGAACGCACTCCATGAGATGAGATCACGTCGGGTGGTGAGAGGGCGGACGCACCTGGAACCCTTCGAACTCGTGCTCGCCGTTCGCCTGAAGCTCGAGGGCCCGCGCCATCGCAGCCCGCTTCAGCTCCCTCCTCTCCCTCCGCCTCCGCCTCCTCTCCTCCTTCTCCCGCCTCTCCTGCTCCTCCCTCGCCAGCGCCTCGGCGTGCCGCGCCGCGCTCAGCTCCTCGATCGTCGACGCATCGAGGGGCGCCGCGTCCGAGTCGAGCGTCGACGTCGAGATTGTCCTCACCCGATCTCCCGCACCGCGCCGTGCGCCCAACGCGCGTGCGCCATCCTCGTCGTCCGACTCCGGGAGCTGGACGGCGGGCGTACGGCCGAAGAGGTCGTAGCCGAACACGCGGATGTGCTTGGGCTGCTTGCGCCGCTTCTTGCGCGTGCGGCGCTCTCCGGGGTTGGTGTGCAGCGAGAGTGCGTCGGCGTCGTCGTCGGTGTCTGCGAGGAGGCCCTGGAGCTCGTCTGGGCGTGCGCGGGGGGGAGGGATGGCGTGTGCGAAGGCGGGGTTACGCGGCCGTGGGGACTGGTGGTCGTCCGAGTCTGAGGCGGGGTCGGAGGAGTGGAGGCAGGGGAGACAGGAGGAGACGGCGGCTTGGAAGGAGTCGGTCCAAGAGAAATGGATGGTGGCCATTGTGTCGAGCGGCGGCTGCGACAGACTTGTGCTGTGAGCGGCCTGCGAGTGGGTGAGATGGGCGAGGTGGTTATTGGGTACGACGAAGAGGGGATACGTGTGCAAGCACAAGTCGATGGGGCAGAATCAAGAGACAGACAGTGTCGCGGTGGGACCAGAGCCGGATCCCGGATGCAGCCGTCAGGGCGCTTATGTAGCAAACCACACAGTCCGCCGCTCTGTCGGGGACTCCCCATCGCGTAACCCGCTCTCAATATCTTCACCTAGACATAGGTCCCATCCATCCACCAGACGATACAGGCGCGCCGTCAATAGACATGTTCGCAGTACATCACTCTACAACTGCGTACACCAATGCACAGTAAGTCACCGTTGCGCCGACAAGGCCTGACTGTGCAGCCGGCCGCATTATACTCCAAGGTCATCCCGCTAAGCACTGGGGAGCACCGCAGAGTCTGATGCCCACCGACGTTTGATACATTCTACTCTACCGTGTACTTCGCTACGCGCCAGCGTCTCTACCCAACCACGTGAGCTGTCTTTCAGAGCAAGTGTGTCGTCTGTACGTTTGAACGGCCATGCAATCCTCGCCGACCTACAGCTTTCCGAAGAGCCGCACAAGCCCCTCGCATGGCTATTGACCCCGTTTTGCCTGCTTTTTCAGCCCACCCAGCACCGCGGAGCTGTGCGGTAGGATGGACAAAGAGGCCACCGCGCGCAAGGAACAGGACGAACAGCGGCTGGACGGTTCCGCGAGGGCGTTCACGGCGACTTTCAAAGACCTATTGACCGAACAGCCACCGGACGACAAAGCTCGAGAACAGATGCCCGACGAGAAAGGCGCGCAGCTGAGGAGCGAGTGCGAGTGCGCCATAGAGGCACCGCATTCGGGAAGACTGCGACGATAATCTACATAAGGATAAGACATATGCAGAGAGAAGGTCGGAGACTCAGCGGGAGCATTCCGTAGTTACAACAGGAACTGGGTGCGCACACCTGTATAGAATACAACATCATATATATCCGAACCGTTCACGGGTCTCACCTCCACGCTCAGTCGTCCGCGCTCCCTTCCGCATTGCGCGAGTTGCCTGGTGTAGACTGGTGCTAGAGACCCTCATTGATCAATACGCGCCGTGGGTCTCGATTCGATTCGGATGGCGATGTGTCGGAGGGGAGGGGAGGGGAGAGTAGGACGGGACGCACCTGCCTGAGCTTGGCCAAGTGGATCTTGAGCGTCTCTGCGTAGTTTTCGAAGCCGAGGGTGACCATGGCGTAGAGGATGTCCTCGCCGCCGATCGTCTTGCGCTTCTCGAGCTGGCACTTCTCCGCCGCCTCGGAGGTGATGAAGGAGATGAACTCGGACACGCACTCCTGCACGCACTCCTTGGCCTCCTTCGAGATCTTCGCCGTGCCTGGGACCGCACCCTTCATGATTCGCGAGACGTTCGCGATCTGGCCGGGGTGAAACAAGTGCGGACGAAAGCGGTGCAGGACGCGAGGTGGCATGGGACGCGAGGTGAGTGGGCACCGCTGGTGTGGCGGGTGGAATAGAGGATGGGACGCACTGGGAGGAAGCGGTCCTGTTCGCGGTATTCTCCGATGTCCTGCTCGGTGATGGGGACAGGTTCGGGGGTATCTTCAGGGACCTGTGGGACGACGCCCGAGCCGTCTTCTTGAGCGGCCGGCGCAATGTTCTGCGGTGCGATATTCTGAGGCGGGGGCGGGGGCGGGGGCGCGAAGTCAGACATCTTGAGGATGGCAGAAGCGGGAAGGTTTGGCCCTGCTTTCAGGGGCGGCTCGCTTGCCTGAGAAGGCTTGGGAGAGAAAGGTTGAGAATATTGGCGGCGGCGGCAGAGGTAGGTGGTGAACGACGGAGCACAAGGCGAGGGGCAGAGGCCGACTATGTACAACCACCGCTACTGTCGCTCACTGCCCGCGCATTCACACCACGTGATATGACGTCCGTATATTGACTCTGTGTGACAAGCTGCATCGACTGGCAGTCGTTCATCTCGTCCCCGTGTCAATCATCTACTTGACTCGTCGAAATACCAGACTTCCATGTCGAGACGAGAAAATCGATGTCTATACTCAGTCTCAACCATCACTAGGTCCGTGCGAAGGCTCGGTGCCCTCTACAGTAGACTAGACGAGGACATATCCTACGTCCCGCAAGGACGCTACTACATAAGCAATAAGGTAGCTGAGCCTCGAGAATAAGAGAAAACCCGCTATAGATACACCGGAAATCCCATACATATGTTCATCCAGATCCACGAACAGCGCCTCACACGAAGTCAGCCCGTTGGAGGTTGTGCCGAAGTATACCGTCGCGCACTTTGGAGAGTACCCGTCAGTACGTACAATGGCATTGCATTACAAATCAGCTCACCGGAAGCCAGTGTCGATGCCGTCGCTTTCGTATCCTGGCATATGACGGAAGATTGGTCAGGATGTGAAGTCTGCGGCGAGCACACTGGTTCAGCGATACTCACGATAGCAGTGGTGACATAACCGTAAAACGGCCTCGTCGGGTCCGGTGTGTACTCGCGGTGTTGCTCACGGAACTTCTGATGCAGATCTGGGAAACGAAGGCCGTCGTCAGACACCAGAACGGACGACACGCGCTCCAGGACAGCCTACAGTGAGCGAGCACCGTCGCAGAGTTCTCGCGCTCAGCGAAGCTGGGCAGGTACTTGTTGATCTTCACACCGGCCGCGAGCTTCTTCTCCAGCAAGTCGTACTTGTTCAGGAATACTGGCGAGTGAACGCGAAGCATCAGCAGGGCAACGTCGAGAAGCACCGGATGAAAACGCACAGATGATGATGCACTTCGCAAGAAGCTTCGACTGAATGACGCCCTTCCAGAGCAGGAACGAATCTTCCAGGCGGTTGACCCGGCGGTCTTCCGCGAGCAGCTCGTCGAAGCAAGATATAGGGGCGAGGAATAGAATGGCGTTGGCGTCGTCAAAGTACGGGTACCATGCAGCACGCTAGGCACGTATTCCATCAGCACCAGCACCATCAAAGGCACTTCGCAAGGACCGAACGTACCGATGTCCTCGAACCGCCGACATCATAGATCATCCACTCTCGAGCGACCTCAGTAGTGGGAGCTGAACGTTCTGGCGTTAAGCCTCTAGCGTCGGGATATTGGACATACACAGAGGCAGGGAGCGGACTCACCATACTTCTCCATCACGAGCTTATACTCTTGGACGCCGACTGTGCGCAGTCGCGAACGCACGACGTCGTTGTCCGAAGGTTCGTAGTCGCGTTGCGTGATACGGTCTATGTCGTTGAGGAAGCTGCGGGCAAAAACCAGCATGAGCAGCCGCTGGAGTCTCAGCAGCAGCACGAGGATCACGACGCTTACAATCCCGGCGAGAGCTCCATGCGGATCCTCTTTCGTTTCAGCAAGTCCCTTACGACTTGATCCTCCCAGAGCGCCTTCATGTCGTCCGCGCAACTCGCGATAATCTCGGTCGCGTCCTCCAGCTTGGACCCGTCCGTCACGACGGTCCCCCTCACGGCCTCCTCGTTCCCCGAGAGCTTGTGGTACGCTGACCGCACGGTCTCTCGCCAAGTATCGTTCGAGCGGACGTAGAACTCTGCATGGCGCCGACGCGTCGTGCCCTCAGCGAACGGCGCAGCGGCGTTCAAGTCGTCCGAGGCGCCTGCGCCTGCGGAGGAAAACGGGGGGGTAGAGGCACTTTCCTCGCCGATTTCGTCTGTCGCTGCCCCGATCAGTTGTTTCAAGTCGGCTTCGACGCGACGTAGTGGGGCGAGACGGAGCTTCAGAAGCGCATGCGTGTGGCTGAATTGAGTATGGGAGGGGGAGGCATTGCCCCCCGCCCCGGAAGATTCAGTGGTGATGGGGCGGAGAGCGGGGGAGGTGGCCGGGGAGGTGGGATTGGATGATTTGGACATCTCCGCTGAGAGAACATCGAGGATGTTGTTGATCGAGCGGACGAGGTTGAGTTGAATGACTGCGCGCCATGAAGCACGTTCCGCTTTCCATGCTTTAGGGGCAAATGCGAGCTGGAAATCTACAGTAGGGTACAGTTCAGGGACACTCGACTGCGTCACCACGTATATGGACGCGTACTCTTTAGTGTTGTGGATTTGCCTGCAGGCAAGAGGTCAGCACATCGTCTGCCACGAATGTTGAGAGTCTGAGCAACATATTGCGGACAAGGCAGACCCGAGCACCCTCAACGTAATGCGTGGCCCGAGGAGCTCGCATGAAAGCTACACCGACCAAGTGGCTGATCTGTGAACAATCACGCTTTCGTGCGCGTACACAGCCGGAACCATATTGGACAGACGCCGCAGGCGGTGCTCGCACCCCAGGACGTAACATGCTTACAGGACGTCATTCGGGAATGGAAGCAATGTGGAGGATATGAAGGGCAGCGATGCACACGCGACATCTCAGAGCGGGGGAGGGACGACAGGGTACAACGGCCGATATGTCTGCGAGCGAGGGATGGCAAAGCATGATAAAACCAAGGAAAGAAGGGACGAGGAGGCAAGCGGCGGGGAAGAGAGGCGAGAGAAGGAGGAGAGGGGGAAGAGGGAAAGGACGTACCGGATTCACTCTGTCCGAGGAGAAGGAGTTTGAACATGCTCTTGTGCTTCTTCCACGCTGCGCGGTCCTGCTTAAGACCCTCGTCGATCTCGTCGTTGATGCGCTTCGCCTCTTCCTCGCGCCTCAGTCGCGCTGCCTTCTCCTCTGGGCTTTCGCCAGGCGGCGGGGCTATCGCGGCCGCGAGGGGATCCTCGGGATCGTGTGAGCGACGGGCGCTATACATGGTCGTGTGACAGAGTGGATAGGAGGGGGCCAACGGCAGGAGGGGGCCAACGGCAGGAGGGGGCCAGACAGAAGACAAGGAGGATACGGAGGGCGTGGGTGGAGGAGAGAAAGGAGCAGGGGGCGCTCAGGGTGCGGTAGGAGGGGCCAGGTGCGTCGGAGGCAGAGACGCGCTCTCGGTACATATGAATCACTTGCTAGTAATAAGTACCATCCCTGAGCGCATTCGGCCAGCGTGTTTGCAGCTTGCAACAGCTTGAAACCAGTGCAACCGTCGCCCACTCGCTTCCCATCTGCCAGATTCCTTGATACCGCATTCTCCCCTCTATTCCCTCAAACTGAACCAGCCTGTACTCCATGCTTTCCGTCTCCTCGTCTCGCCTTCTGCGCTCCCCGGGCTCTGCGCGCGATCATCTGTTGCGATTGAGGCGCAGTCCTCGTAAGATCATTCGCAGTTTGCATCTCAAGTCCTGGCCATCCGTCGTCATCCATGGGATGCGTACGACTGCGGCCAGGAGGGTACAACGGTCTATCCGATCCTTCTCAGGGATCTTGATCGCCTTGAGACCCTGACAACTCTCAGATCGCCATCAATATTGCTCTCCTGTCCCTTGGGGGTCGCTGCTTACACGAATGCCCGAGTCCGATTTGGCCGCGCAGCACATGCGATGGTCGGCGCTCTTCCACAACATGAGTGTACGAGTCTCGGCTAACCACATGCACGCAGAGACGCTCCAGTCCCTGTGAGCACTGTTCCGCGACGTCAAGAGGCGTTCGTGCGGCGCGGTACGGAACTTCCCAACGCTAGCCAAGGTCGCAGTTGCTATCAGGGTCGCACTGCAAGGAATGGTTGTGCATCAATGCGCGATGGTTTTAGGCTTGTACGTCGACGTGGACCGATCGCTGTTCCGTGCTAAGCAGGCGATACGCCCTTGTGGCCGAGCACGATGCTCACACTTCGCGGCAACCACGCTCTACGCTTCGTCCCAACAATAGGGGTAGTCAAAGATGGCGTTTCGGAGGACGGTTCGACAAGCGATTCTGCAGCGATTCGGTGGAAGGGAATCGTCCTGGATTCGTGTGGGCACTTTGACCACCCCACGTTTCTACGGGTCGATTCCAGGATAGATTCTTGAGTCGGTCAGGCCTTCGGGCGTCTGTGATATCAGAATTAGGTAATCTATGCATCCTCGCGCGATGGTTTCTCGACGTGTGCCGCGTTGTTCTTCCCCCTACTATGCCTTGTTACAGCTCTCGGGCCCGCATAGCGAATATATTCAGTTTACCAAGACACGACGCACTCAATTCCCGGTCTTTGTGCTAGAGCCAGCAGCAGGTTGCCAGGTGAGACGGCCGGACTTTCTGAAAGGAAGGGCTTTCGGTCTGGTTGGACATTTGAAGGTGGAGGGAATCTGTACACCAGTGATTCTGATTAAAGTAGAGAAGCCGCCAGCTTCAAGTTGCAGTAGGGTCGCTCGTAAGACAAACCCCAATAATAATTTGACATATAACCTATTTTAAGAGGGCTTATCCGAGGTCGGACTGAGGGAATCGAGTACAGAGAATCGCGATTCGGGTGGGCGGTGCTCCTCCAGACTCGCACCGGCGATTCGACGCGATTCTGCCAGAATCGCGGATTCCCCCCTCTCGAATCGTCTCCCGAATCGTTCCCTCGAATCGTCCACCGAACCGCCATCTTTGACTACCCCTAATATAAAGCCTATCAGCACTGCGCGCCGCAACTGCCATGCGTATCGCATGGACACTGTATTCCTGGGTGACACTACGGCCTCATATAGTGAATGCATTCCACCGAGGTTCCAGATTAGTCCTGGCAACACTTTCGTTTGACGACGCAAGAGTCACAGTAGTATGTCCATGCAGTACCAACACACTCATTGCCATCATGGTTCCATATTCGTTGACTTGAGGCTAAGTATCCTGCTTGCCTGCCTTCCTTACGCTGCAAAATCTTCTTTCTCACCACGGTCTATGATATCCACTCGCCGCCTGACACGGAATTGGGTAATATCAGTGGGGGGGAGGCCTTCTCGATCACTCGTCTGTCCGGGTGACTTGACTGACTATTGCCGTCAAGAGCGCCGACTCATCCTCAGAGAAAAATCTGGTCCCACTCAGACCGTATCTCGAAATGTGTTTCTATCTGCTCTTCAAGTTATCCCGGCACTGGCAGCTTGAAGATCAGAAGTTGCCCCCTGAGGCTGTATGTAGCCGTAGCATTGACCTGATCAACGTTATGTCTTGGCCGAGCGGTCTAAGGCGCCGCCAGACTAGGGATCTGCGTACTGATTCGAATTCCTCTCTCATCATCTCGGAGTATCTTGCCTATCTATTCCTTACAACCTTGAAAGCCTGGACAGTACTACCTTCAGTGTCCCTCTCCCTTGAAACAGTCCTTTCCTCTAATGCTTTGAAGTGACCGCACGCATACGCGTGGATGTTGTCAGTCTCTTGATTGGCCAACGATGTTTGCTTCCATAAACCCGATGCCAGACTCAACAGAATAGAATATACGAGTATCCTCAAACAGATATAATATATACAACGACCGCTAGAAACGCATGGGCTGGAAGGGGGGGATATCAGCGGAATGTTGGCAGTAAGACAGGAGTGCGTCACTAGTCGCAGGACATTAAAGCAGTGAATCTAATTTTGACAGAACCTCGAGCACGCCAGCCACGAGCTCGAAGCACAAGTCCTCCTCGCCCCCAACCATCTCCTTCTTCACCTCCTGAACCAGTCCGAGTACGACCTCTCTCGAGCTCACGCCTGCGCTGCCCATCCCGATCCTCGACGCCTCTCGTCGCCGGCTCGACGACGCGCTCCGGGTGCTCCCTGAGCTGCTTCCAAACGGCCAACTCGAGAACTCGGCGAGGATGTCGTCGCACCGCTGGAACGCCGCCTCGCGGTCCTCGTACGTCAGCCGCCCGAACGCGTTGTCGAGCACGCTCGCGGCGTACGCGGCACAGACGAGGCAGACGGCGCGCATGGCACGGCACTGCGTGCCCTCTTTGCCGAGCGCCGCGGGAGGCACCGCGGAGGTAGTGGAGGTGAGGAGGGTGACGACGCGGGAGATGATGGCCTCCTTTGTCCGGACGTCGGCGACGGGGTGGGTGGCCATGTCGAAGAGGAGGAAGTTGCGCTTCTCGGTCCGGAGGACGCCCTTGTCGACGAGGCCTTTTGCGAGCCGCTCTCGGACTTGCTTCAGCTGGAAGCCGATCTTCATCACGTTCCATGTCTCGCCTGAGAACGCGCGAAGCGATGTGATGGGATGGCGGCGGAAGGTGGGTAAAGGAAGAGAAGGGCAGCAATCAGCCTGTGTCGCGTGAGTGCCGCGCGAGAGCGCGCAGAGGAGTCCCTGGGTCCGCGGAGACGGAGGACTCACCGCTTAGGAGGTCTACCCAGCCGTTGACAGATATGCGCTCTGATTCTTGACCCTTCATCATCCGTAGCGCTTCGTCGAGGATGGTCTCGCCCGTTTGTCGATCGTCCAGAACCTCGACAAGACGTTCTGAGAGTGGGAGGTGCCGCCGATTCGGATCTTTGACGAGGGCGATGCGCCGGCGTAGAGCGAGCTCGATGAGAATGCAGCCGCGGAGCGCGTATGAGATGTTATCGTTCCAGAACGAGAGGTAACCCTGGAATGATTCGGGTTACGGTAAGTCTCCAGCCTCAATAACCGAGCCTGCTGCATGGTACTGCAAAGCCGAGCCAAACGGAGCGGGAAGGAAGGAAAAATTCAAAGAATACGGTATGAGAAGTGAGCGCGCTTGGTGGCTAGGCGGTGGTGCTGGTGAGGTTCCATGGGACTGCCATGTCCAAACAATGTTCAAGCCGCCCAGTCGCGCAGCGGGATGCTTCTCCCGCCACGGTTCGATTGGTAACTCGGATGAGCCGCCGTACGCGAGCTGGGTGAGAGCAAAAGGTACTCCGGACACTGCGGTGTGACCGAGGATGACATGGGTAGGGGAGTGGTCGTATGAGGAGACTCACCTGCTTGTCCTTGAGGCCGAGGAGGAGAACCTCCTCCATGATGGTAAGCCGCGGAGGCTTGCCTCCTAAGCGAGCATCTTCATCCTCACGCTCAAGGTCGCGGGGGTCATAAGCTATCTTGCTACCTCCTTCGAACGCGGAGCCAGCATGCTGAGGAGAATAGAGAGACTCGTTACGGGAGGCGGAACCGCTGCCACCGTTGGTGGGAGAGCCGTTCAATCCCCGTGAGCTGTCGACGTCGTCGTCGCCGGTGGAGGCTGAGGCTGGAACACGGCGACGAGAAAGACCAGCAGCAGAGCTCATTGCATGAACGAGACGACAATGGAGGGGAGGGAGGAGTAGATTGGAGGCAAGACACCGAGCGCAGCGCGCGTCCTTCTCGCGAGCCGTCCGAGTCCGCGGCCGGTGTCCTCTCCGGGCTGCGGGTCCATAGACGCCTGTAGACACATCCCGTCCCGTACCTCCCTCGTCGCCGTCTCTTCCTATCCCACCCCTTTGCTCATCGTCCCCAACAGCGAGCTCAAGGCGAAGCACGAGTGGCCCGTCATGTATGTGCTCATGTCGTCCCTAGCGCCCTTCGCTTATCGCTGTCAGTCCCTCCTCGGCGGCTTTGTGGCACGCTGAACTGGCATGTACTCTCCTCAGCCAGCCATCTCATCTTGCGGCAACTTACTTCTCTCTCGTCCGTATCCCAGGTCCTCCTTGTGCTCTCATGGGCAGCTCTCTAGCTCTCCAGCTTGTCCAACAGGCTTTCGGCGATGTCATTATCGCCCGCATATCTCCCTCACACATTGATCGGCTGCCCGTCGAAATCCTCAGCCACGTCTTCCGTCTCCTCTGGTTTCGCACCGCCCCTCACCCCAGGCTCGACATAGAGTCTTGGCCGCGGTATCATCCTGTCCATCCATCCATCATCCACATCACCCACGTATGTCACCGGTGGCGCGAGATTGCCCTCGACACTCCCATCCTCTGGAGCCGAGTTGACGACACCCTGGGGCTCCGAATGATAGCTTTCCTCCAGCGCTCACGGTCCGCGCCTGTCTCCTTGTCTACCTATCTCTCAGTCCCTCACGAGGGCATCGCTGGCGAGCTCATCACCACCGTCCTTGAGTCATGTTGTGAGCGACTCCGTCGCCTCGACGTCAGGTTACACGCCTACGACATTTTCACCCATTCTCGCATCGATTTTGCGGCACCGAACCTTGAATGCCTCACAATCCAGTGCGAGATCTATGATGGCGTAGAAATCGTTGAATACCCCTTGCTCCTGCAGGGACAAACGATGTCTCTGAAGGCGCTTGCGCTTCTCCATATCCACCATTGGCTCCCTGCAAACCTATTTCCGAATCTCGTTCATCTCAACATTTCCTACTTTTACATGGAAGAGCTCCCTCTTCTAATGCTCTCGCATCTCCTAGCAGGGTGTCCTCGACTTGAAACCCTTCACCTTGGCGAGGTGTGGAGTTATCCCCTCCTAGACTTGGACCTCACCCCTCCATCACAGAAAATCCCAATGCCCCATCTTCGCAGCATTTCCACATGCTGCACGACCCTACAGACCGCAGCTCAGATACTTGCCATCCTTGAGCTCCCACCGAGGAGTCGTATCAGGATACATAATGCCCCCGTAGATTCACATACTTGGGCTGCCGACAACTTACTACCCTCGCTCGAGTTCATGAAGACGCTCACCCGCCTGGAGGTCGCTGCAGACACTACTTCTTTATACCTTGTCGCCGAAGGCGACGACGCAGGCCTGTGGATCCAGGCCAAGTGGGAAGGCGGCTCTCCAAGCGTCTGGCCGCAATGGCTCGCGGAGCTGCATAGAGCCATACCCTTCGCCTCCATCACCCACTTCCATGTCGCGCTCACGGATTGGAGCATCCTGCGCGAGCTCCTGACACGTATGTCCGCCCTATCGGTACTGGGCGTCATGTCCTTTCCGAACGACGATGCCGGGCACGAGCCGATGCTGTCCGAGCTGTCTTCGACGCTCTTGTGTAACTTCGCGGTGGTCTGTCCGGACCTCGCCACGCTCAGCATACAGTGTAACGTGGCGCCTGACGTTACTCAGATTGCTTCTCTAGCGACGAGGGAAGGGGCCCGTCGGCTATCTCGTCTCGTCCTTGACTTTCCTGGCTTAGTCGATCCGGAGCCGCTTATGGGACATGTCGACGAGCTTGAGATCGGGGACGGTGGCGTCTGCACTTGGGAGAAGAGGGACGGGTGGGACATCGGGAACGAATTTTGGCGGCTCCCGGAAGAGGATGAACCGCGCTGTGTGCTCCCATGGAATGTTACTACGCACGGCTAATAGTACAGTCTTGACTGTGGTATGTGTCGTAGTAGTGGCAAGCGGGTTGGCTTCCATCACTACTTACTCATCGTTGAATTGTTGACTATTGACGTGCAATGTAGATGCGCACCAACGCTCCGAATGCTCAAGAAAAAACGGAACGACGTGTTCGCCGACATAGAAGGACATCTACGGCTTCGCATGATGATTGGAACAATGGCATTGCGTAATGGAGAGTCTCAGGACGATCTTCCATATAGTAGGTCCATGTCTGGACCTATTCAAACGGTCTGCGCGGTTTTGGCCTTGTGGGCGTTCGGGGGTGAGCCTTGATCGGTTTCTACCGATGCTCACGCGAAGTAATTGATTTCTTACCGAGCTGACTCCTCGGGGCGGCTCATACTAGGTCCGCGGAGGACGCGTGTCGCGCACCGACAATCACCTCCGCATTTCAGCAAGCGGGTGAGTCGACGCGCCCCACCTGTGAGATCCCATGTCGTACAGTTGACGGGCTGATCGGGTCCGTCATTTCGCTGCAGGAGCTGTCTCCAGGTATACCCATACCAGTGGACCGCACTCAGACGAGCCGGCGCCCCGTCTCGAAGGTGGCCGGGTAGACGTCCGTGCATCGCGGGTGCGCACGCAGAGCGCAGTCTGCGTGTACGCCCGTTTTGGCGAGTGGATCGCGGATGTGAAAGGTACGTGTTTGCACATCGATCGGCTAATTTCCGTTAAGGTTGTCACCCAGACGGCGACCACGTGCATGTCACCTGAAGTGTTCGTCCGCTCTGCGGTAGTTGGCCTTTTCTCATGAATACCAGGCTTCCGTCGTGTCGGGGCCCTCTCTTGACTGCTCAGTAGCTTCGTAGTCGCTTTTGGATTCTCGCATTCACAGGCCAGCTTCGTCCTGTGAGCGCTCACTCTGTCATCGTCGTTCTTTGCTCTTGATCAAGTCTTGGTCCGCGTGAAGGTCGCTTAGCGCACCAGGCATGATTCCCAAGCAAAGGCGTCATTGCGTTCCGTGCTGTAGGAAGGTAGGCCAGACTTTACCAGCTTGGGTACCCCGCCCTTGCCATACGCCGCCTTTCTCGTGGACAGCGGCGCACTGAGCCTGGTGGACGTCCGTACCTTTTCGCGGGGACGCCATTCGAGCTGTTCACCGCGAGAGAGCAGTCGCTTCTTTCTGTTTACTGCCTCCACCTCTATGGGGTCAGCTGAATCGAGCGTGCTTGCCTTCGCGCCGATCCTACAGATTTCTACCAAAGCCTCGCAGCGGCTTATCAAGATAATTAGCCAGCGAAGGGTTCATGGCCGTTCGGTCAACGCGGAGATATCTAGAGGCAGAGAGACACGAGGCACGATGAGACGTCTACTTATCCCCGCTATCGAGGCCAATCACGTTGCGGAGCCGTTCACTGCCGCTTGCAGTTCTCATGGACCAGTGGGGCCTTCCCAGGTGCGAACGAAGACGCTCGCTACACATACCGGCGATACCGCGTACAATGGCTACATTTCCTCATGAGTGACATCACTCAATGCCGCGTGCGTCTTCGCGTATGGTTACAGGAAGGCCTCGTCACCTGAGCTTGTACGTGAGTCCAGTCCATCACACCGGTGATTTCACAAATCCTCTTTCGCACGCGTACGACGTAAGCTACCCGCTGCTTCGCGCTTTCGCAAGAACACACAAGCACTTACTCCTCGGTGTCCCGATATGGTGACCTACCGATGGGTATGTTTCCGAGTTGGAGCCACTAGACCGGGCGACGCTCCTCGCTTTCGAGATCACCGTGATCGCAGTGCGGTGCGCTCGTTACGGCTTCTAGAGCCTCGTGTCGATCTCGGGGTGCTTCCGCGGCCGTCAGGCCTCATTAACGCGGTGTGACCTTTGTACTTTCCGGCCCGGATAGGCTGGCAAATGGCCGAGCAGTTATCGTCCGTCACGACCTCGTAGTACCACCAAAGTCTACGCTAACTTTACCTGTATTGCAGAAATCCAAAGTAGATGGGTACCTGGACGACTTACCTAAATGTCCCGACGTCCGTCACGACCTCCCACTGCGATCTCTCCATAACGGTATATGTGCAACTGCGACGATAGACATGCCGGCAAAGGATTACGACCCGTCACAAGTCACGGACGATGGTGACATTGTAATGAGAACGCGTTGCGCGCGGTTTCGTGCCGGTCGAGCGTCACGGTCCAGGATCCTGGGAGCAAAGAGGGCTTTTCTGATGAGAGGCGTCCCTTTGCCTCCGTGCTCCCTCGTCCCTCCCTGACGTCTACGTCTGTCTGGCATGAGGCCGTCTCCCCCGGTGCGATATTAACTTTCTTCTCTCGGGGTCTTCTTTCTTCGCGACCGTGAAGACTACCGCGTGTGCTGGGCATACGTCCCCTCCCGTCTGCTCTTCTTCAATCCCTCCCTCTCTAACGCCACCCCTCTCTTCGCCCTCTACTTGTACGTACGGACCCACAAACACAGCCCTTTCTTCTTCTATCCACCATGATGCAGACTGCAAGGTCGAAACCCGACGTGAGCATCCTTTGTCCTCGGTTCATTATCCTCCCTCGTGTCTAACAAAGGCTCATCTACAACAACAGCCTAGGATGTTCCTCAAGGACTTCGACACACCCGCAGAACATCACAGGTGGTCAGAGCTTGTGCCCCCTCGTACAGCTCTCACCTTCGCTGCGATTTGGGATGAAGACGAAGGCATGGTCACTTTCTCCGGCGCCCACCTCTTCGACTCGGAGACGGCAGAGAAGGGGCGCAGGGACCAGCTGGCAAACGACTCCCCTTCTGATGTCGCGTTTGGGGATGGCGAGTCGCAGGTCCTCACCATAAACGACAGGTTCGCTATCGCTATCTCTGAGTCACCCGCTCGCCCAGGGCATGCCCTTCCCTCCGCAGGCATCGACTCTCTCGCCTTCGCACGCGACGCTATGATCGATGGCGAAACCGTCATGGACTCACGTTCATGTCTTGGTGCTGGTGGCCTTCGCGTTCCACCGGGCATCCATTACGCGCCCGACAGTCCTGCAGTCGCGTCTTCAATGGCGCTGGCGTCGCTCGCAAATGTCCCCTTCCGCCGCAGGACTTTGATCAACAATCCATTCAGCCGCACCAGACGCGATTCGCAACGAGCAAGGCGCGCAGAGCTTCGCGTTCAGACGAACGGCGACGAGGTAAGGCATTGCGACGCGCAGAGCGCGAGGAGCGACGTGACCGACGAAGGTTTCTTCGAGGACCGCCGCCTAACGACCGGGACCCTCGGGACCGCGCCTGTTCTCGTTGAAGTTAATTTGGTATGTCTCCGCGTCTGTCTGACAGTGTATTCCCATACCTTAACGAACACGCTCCACGCTCCCTCCCAGTCCTCTGCGTTCTCCGTGACCACGACCTCTACCTCGCGCTATGTGGAGGTCGACCACCCGTCGCAAGCCGAGACCTACTCATGCGAGCATCGGTCACAGCGGACACAGGTCCACCGCCAGAGTCAGCCCCCGCTTGTCAAGGAGAAAGCCGAGAGTGTGGGCGAGTCGGCGTGGTCCACGCTGCGCGATGCCGAGCGCAACATCTGCTTCAACGTTCCGCTCGAGATCGGGCGCAGGCTGAAGAAACAGCGCTCCCCACGCCGCTCGTCTTCTCCCCCCGCGAGCCCCGAGGAAGTCCTCGCTCGTCAGTATTACAATCACTTCCCATCACCCTCGTCCGTCGATTCGGACATGTCTACCTGGAGCGGCATGCACGGCAGACAAGGGTGCGGCCCCAACATCCCACGGCCATCGACGCCGAAGGGGAGCATGAAGCTCGGCAAGTCGCTCCTCCACCGTGTCGTATCGTGCAAGAAGCACGACGGCATGGACGACCGATGGGTATACGTCGAGGTCGAACACAAGGTCAAGCAGCGGGTGTGCGCAGTCTGTGTTTGATGGCGAAGTTTCATGGATGCGAATATGGATTGTGTGGACGGGTGGACATGAATACCTGGATACACGCGGTGTGCGCCCGGTCTATATATGCCAACGCCTGGTGAGTGTGGCCGTGAGCGTCGTCGTGACTGCCGCACGTTGCGCACAGTCCGTCCGGCATAGGCCGTGCGCGCGTCTTCTCTGTCATTATTAATTTATTATTGGTATTTCTGGGGACCCACGCTGCATTTACTCGTACTTTCTTCGCCTAAACTTAAGGCTACTACTTCTTAGAGCTGCCAATTCTGCAGTACGCATTCCCCATCCCACATATTCTTTCGACATACAGTTAGGAGATCGGCGGTCTCCCCACATTCTTTTCGATACCCTTCGCCTTCGCTGCGTCTTCTTTCTTCACCCCTTTGTACTTATTGTGTCTTGCTCATGCCCCTAATTGCTACCCTTCCTCCCTTCGTCTCGCCCTGACTTGGGTTGTACTCTTACTGATGCCGATGTGTTCACTTATCAACCTCCCCTGTGCTAGTAGAAATCATCCTTCGGGATACCGGTACTTCATTGTACGTAGCTGCTGTAACGTCCAAGTCATGGCGACCAATATATGAGCCTATATGCCCGATCGTTCCTGTCTCGCACCCTTCGGACACGCTGAAGCGCAGTAGAAATGAAGGCACGCACGAGGGCCGCCGCAGGAAACAGTCGGCATGGACAGCATTATATTACTGACGAGCCTCTACAAGAACACGACCACGCTTGCGCAGCTGGATATCGACCGTGACCCGCACCAGGCCAAGACCCACTCCCCGCTCGTTGCACGCTCCCGTGCTTCCTACAACGCCACCTCCAGGGAGCGGATTTGACATGGCGCAGACGGGCAAGCCGCAGCATACGCCGTAGCACCGTCAGCGCGCACCGAAGAACAACACTAGTAGAACATGAGACGACAGAAGACCGAGAATTGATGATTCCATGACAGACAACGATAACCGAGTAATGAAGAATACCGAACGGCGCGGCGGGCACAACGCAGCGAAAGGGGAGGCGATAAACATAGACAATGAGTAGGATGTCACAAACAGGAGAAGAGACGGAATGTGCACAGTACAGCATAGGAACAACAGGTACACGAGGGAGCGCGCAAGTTCATGAGGGGGATCAATTGATTGGCTTCGAGGGCATCGGGCGAGAACCACGGTCCATGAGATACGAGAAGACAATAATCGGGTGTCTAGACAGAACAACAAAGGTGAGGCGACTATCGGCGTCGCAGCGGGAGTGTGGACGAGGGCCGGCGGGGGCATGGATGCGTGTGCATGCCCCTGGAGGGGGTTGTCCGGGGCTCGGGCTGATTGACTTTACGAGACGTCGTCACCGAGGGTAGTAGATGTCTTCCTCCCACGACTCTGCGGAGACAAAGTGACATGTTAGCAGACATAGAGACGGCGCGCGGCGTAAGGCGGTGCGCGGGCGGGGGACGGGTGGAGAGGGAGTGGGAAGCCGGGTACGCACCTTCCGTAATGCTTCGCCACGCAAAGTAGAGCACGGCGACCGCGGCGGTCTCGAGTATCGTCGCAACAAATGATCCGTCAATCTTGCTATTTGCACCCTGATCGGGGGAAAGGCATTTCACATGAGTCGTACACGCACTGGGACTTGATATGAAACGTACCTTGCAAATGACCTTGCTCAGCAAGAAATAATCCAGCTGGCTGAGGACAAACAGAATCGCAGCCAGGACGTAGTACCACATTGGGCGGACTTCATTCAACATCCCGAGCACGACGTAGGTCATGATCACCAAGTATAGAATCGCGGCGCTGCGGATCGGAACGATCGTCGTGTCAATAATTGCGCAGGAAGCGTGCTCGCAGTCCAAACCAGACTCACGCGGCCGGCCAAATGCTAGTGAGCACGAAGAGCGCGATGCTGTTCTGGGAGGCTGGGGGCGTTGATTGAAACACCGTCGTGAAGGAGAAGCCAACATCGAGGGAAATGTATGTTGTCGCAGCGAAGAATGCGACAACGAAGAAGTGGAACGGCTAACGCGTTGTGTCAGAGATCGCTCGAAAGTGACGCTGTGCGCACGCCGCTAGCCCCTGTGGGGCTAGGGCGCGGAAGGAGCTCGAGAAGCACTCACCACCAGTGAGCTCATCGTGCCATCCTCGACCACCTGCGTACTGACAATCGCGTTACCTAGCAGTGCCCAAAACGTGGCGGTGACGAGTCCAGCATGTATTGCAGTGATAACGGTCAGAGCAGTGGTGCCTTGTTCAAGGAAGGAGCCCGTGGATATGAGCTGGAAGGGGATGGTCAAGAAATAGAGGACCAAGAATATTTGGAACTCGACCCGACCTGGGATGATTTGTGAGAACAAGTACGAGCGTGCTTACTACGACGAGATATAGGAGGCGATATGGTCAAGGGTATCGTACGCAAGACAACCGAGTGAGAACACAGGATATCGCTGCTTTGCGAAGAGACGTATCGTCCACCGCGCAGGCGCGACCTCAGCTCGTTCTGTTGGCTACGCATCACAGCCAAAGCGGAAGGGTGGCAAGAGAAGCAACAGCGTAGCATGCGCACTGCACGAGACCGCCTGCGGTGCTCATTGAGGTGTTAGTGACGTGGCGTGAGTGCTGCGTCAGTCCGCGTCATCGAACGCGAGCTCACCCAGAGGTCCTGCACCAAGAGAATGGGGCGACGCTGAAAGCTGGATGGACGCGGAGACATGTGCAAGGCAAGAGCAAAGAAGGCGACAGAAAGGAAGAGAAGGCTAGCGAAACAGAAGGGCTACCAGCAGACGATGGTATGTAGAACTGCAAAGGCGGGGGCGAGGGCGGTCGAAGGAGCGAAACGCATCGAGGACTCACCGACAGCAGCCCTTCTCCGATTGGTCCAGAATACGAGAAGCAGAGTGATGAGGATGCTCAGCCCGCAGGCAACGATGTTGGCAATGTTTGCGAGCGAACTATCATGGCCAACACGGGGGATGCCGCATTCTGGGTTGATGCCTACCGGGGCGGAGGTAGCATCTGAGGACAGGTTCGTAAGGGCAGTAGGGTCACGGTGTTGTAGCTAGAAGGCGTGAGGAGAGGCGAGGTGAGCAGGTTGAGAAGCTCGAGGCGTAGGGACGTAGGTACCTGGCGGTAGAAGAGATTACACCATGGATATGATGGGACTTGGTGACAGAGGGGGGCAAAGTCCCCAAACTTGGTCATGCCGACCGATGGAGAGGGTGCGTTGAGGGCGCGTTGAGAGGGAAGGGGGCAGGGTATCCAGGACGAGCTGAGGAAAGGGAGAAAAGAGGATGAGAAAATGCTGATCAACGAGGGGGGAGCACGAGGCAACCGCAACCGTCGCCCGATGTGGATGCGGATACGGATGCGCTACTCCCATCACCAGTGGTCTCCCATCGCCACTCACCTCCTTAGATTTTGTCGACTTGGCCCGCAAAGTCGTCGGTTTTCGCGCCGAGCCAGCAGGTCGCGTCGATTATGGAGGAGGAGGGTATTCAAGTCGTTGGCAACGACCAAACAGTGTCAACTGCATGCAACGTTGTCCCCCTTCAGCACAATAGACCCTCTCGGCGCTTATCTACACTGTCTCTCAAAATGAAGCATCATGTTACTCTATATACTAACCACGCGTATACAGATATTGTGGAACACCGAAAGAGGCAAAGCTACAAACATCTACATCGGGTCCAATATGCAACTCGAAAAACAGGAACGGACGTTGTGCGGATAGATGTCTGCAAGTGTACCTTACCACGCCATGATAGCTCGGGAAGCCCAAAATCGAAACTTCCCATCACACCCGTATGTCACTGTGTACGCCACATACAATTGCATTGCGAAGGTTCTGGATGACCCACAAACCTGGCGTGTTGAACACAATTTGAGCCAAGTTGCGCTGCCAGGGCTTGGGCGCCAAAGGACGGAAGCAAAAGAACGAGGGGCGCTTGACCATTTGTGCGTTGCTGTCGTTGATCACCGACTCCTCCAGCGCGGGTTCATCTGCACTCACATCGCCCGCTCCCGTTCGCAAGCTCGTCGAGAACCGTGTAGGCGATGAGTTATTTAATCGTCAGGCGAAGCCACTCGAGCATCCGCGCATGGCGGAAGCGCTCCTCATCCGCCGCGCACTCGCTATACCGGGTGACACCCGCCCCATCCTCGCCATCCTCTTCTCGTACAAACTCGCTTTTCTCTTCCGCACCCTCTTTACCGCGGCCGCCTCCGCTGCTGCCCTCGTCGTCTACGCTCGCTTCTCCAACCCGTCCTCTCCGAGCAACTTGCCGGATCGGCGCTCATAAACGCGGTCACCAGTCTCGTCGGACTGCTTGCAACTGCTCTAACCGTGCAAGGACACTCTGAACGGCCTGAAGACCTCAGAGCTGCGCTCGAACGTGCGTGGTGGCTGGACGCCGTTATGAAGCTAGGGAATCCCCTGTCATGCGCGCTATCTCCCGCCTTGGGGCTCCTCATCATGTCTAAATTCGACTTGTGGTCCTGGGCGGGCGTGGCTTCAGGGGCACCAGGGAATATGACCGTGAGGGACGCGCTCAACGCGGGTTTCGTCGGGATGGCAGCCACTGCCGCGGATTTGCTGTGGAGTCGCTGAATCCGGCTACTGCCTAGACACGTAGGCCGATAAAGCATGTCATTGCATCCGTCGCATCTGGGAGGCTCGATATCCTGGGCTGTTCCAGGGGTGAGTTAGATTAAACCTTACTTGCAAATCTCCCAAGCCGAGTTGCTGAATCTGCACGCAAGTCTGACAGGTCGATGTTGGGCGCGGTGTCGCTTACCTATCCAGAAAAATCAACCACGCCTCATGACATTTGTGGGGATTGTACGCAATATACAGTGGACACACAGTCTGTTACGTTGGGTCGCCAGTGCAAGCGTACGATGGTATCGCCGGCGGGCTGTCTGCCATCACCATTCGTTACCTATTGCAAACCAGTCAGTAGTTCCCGTGTTTGAAAGAGATGGCGCTGGCACTGCCTCTATCTGGCGCTCCTCTGTCGCGACATGATCGAGCATTCGAAGACTGGGGTTCGAGCGGCAATGGGCGCTGGTTTTCTGCAGTGACTCTGGTATGAGGAGGCTTGTAGATTGCCCCGTACTGCTGCTACTGTGTTCTATGACTCTCGGAGCCGTAGCTGCTGGTGCGTTACCTGTTTCGCCACACTTGGTGAAGCCGAAGCTGATCCAGCGTTCGACAGTCGACAATGGCGCCTTACGACATAGATCCCCTCTCGCGCAATCAGATCGGCCTTGATGTGCGTAGCTGGCCTTATATGTATAGCGTGTTGCTAGTGGTGTTGACGATTATACCACTCGAACCCAAACACCCTCTCGTTACTCCCCGGCTCGCCTGTAAGCTCACCCCCACTCTCATCTCCAGTACGCGGATTCCGACGTCAGGGCTGTAAGACAGATATGGCGCGCGTCCAGCCCGTAAAGGATCCGCTATGGGAAGCTAGCCTTTTCCGCCGTGTCCTTGCATCCTTCAATCCTCCGGCTGTCTTCGCACTCCTCATTCTCCACACTTCGATACTTCTCCTGCGCATCGCGACTCAGTTCTCTACGTCTATCACACTCCTCATCGTCATCTTATTTTTCGACTCGTCTACCACACTCCTCGTGGCGCCCACTCTCGTAGTGGCACGCTACATGCTCATCGTTCTCTCCATCTCCAACGTCTTCATCATTGTAGCCAGGTGGCTCATACTGGCCCTGGTGGTCAAGTGTCAAGGATTAGCCACAGACGAGGAGGTGGACGCTGCGATGGAGCGTGTGCGTGATTGGGTGTTCACATTCGAGAACTTCGCGTCCATGCTAGCCATCTCCAAGTGGTCTACAATCGTCAACATCGTCACGCCTGTCCCGGAGAACGGTGCACACGAAGAGATGAGCTTGGTCTTCGCGATTGGGGTGTGGGTGGTGGGGGCGGTCGCATTTTGCATACAATCAATGCGCAAATGATGGTACTACACATGAAACTTCATTCGATCTCTCGCATCTTCTACGCGCTATACGGTACGGGCATATTGTGTGGATCAGATCCCTCATGTCTCATCTGCAGCGCATTTCTCGCAGACTGCGTACACTGCATTGTAGGCGGTACGCTCCACAGGCCTAGGATTCATGTGCTATATTTTTATCTTCGTTTCGTACATAGCTCCTCATGAAGTTGCACGTCATAATTGTGGAGAGTCATCAGGGAAGTCCTTCATGATTCAGGTTAGACGGGAAGTGCCCTTCGGCTGTAGCTCGATTCGTATTGATGTCGGAGTCTTGATCGCCGTCATATACGTACATACTCGCTAACCCAAATAGAATATGAAACCCAACTCGGACCAGGATCGCCCTGAGCCTTTTGACTAACTTCGTTGCCACGTCACTTACACGAAGGTTCGTTGTCGCTGTACAAACTACAGGCATGCGCGTTACTGAACCGCCTCATGTAGATGTCCAGCTCTTCGAGGCCGACGGAGACTGAAGTCTTTGCGCTTGTCGCATTTCTCCGCGATCAAGACCTGTCCTCAAACCCGATACTGCATGGTCTGTTGCAGCGCTTGGAGCGTTCCGTCCAGCGCAATCATGATGCGACCCGGTATCCTACGCCCCCTGTTGAAGGCAGCCAGGGTCAGCTTCCTGAAGAGGTAGGCTTTCCAAGTCGTCTTTTTGATACAGTTCAATTCATAGACACGACATGTTGTGCTCGACCCTCAGGACAAAACGAACAAAGGCCCTAAACGCAAAAGATCAGCGTCCGCGTCGTGGCGTTGCGAACCTCAACCACCGTCAGAACAGCCCAACGGGCGAGGAGCGCCAACACAGTCGGTGTTTGCTCTCCACATGGCCGGCCCTCAAGCTATCGCTTCTATAGGGAACTTCACGTTTCGCTACGCAGGCCCTCAGACGACTGACGAGCAAGACGACTCTTGTGGTCCTATGACTGTGAACCAAACCTGTGCGACAGAGGAGACGAAAGACGTGCTTCCGACCGAAACTTCGAGATGGAGCAAGCGTCGGCGTACACGAGTCGATTGACAGACAAATTGGTATATACTTAGTTGCACAACGGGTCGTGCGTCTTTGCTACTGCTTTGACAGTTTCACGCCTACTTCTTGACACGCTTTCAGGCTTTCTCATTCTATGCAACGCCACGCTGGAATCGACGTCCAATAATTACCACTGCAACCGCGCCTTTGAGTCCTATTTTGGTTGTACGTACGTACTCGTAGGACCCCCGCTGCCGCAGATCCCCTCTCCAAGACTTGTGGGAAGCGTTGGATTACACGCGTGGCAGAAAGAGCTCTTCATGGGAGTGGAGAGGCCGTATGCTGAGTTTTGAGAGCAACGGATGTTCGATGCGTCGCTGGTTAGGCTGTATAATCCCTCTTGGTAGGACATTGATTGGGAGCGTGCAGTTCGAGGCCTAATGGTCTAGAAGTATGATTCTCGCTTTGGGTTAAGTCACGTGTGCGAGAGGTCCTGGGTTCAATTCCCAGTTAGGCCCCGATATTTTGCCCTTTTTTGTTCGGTGTTGAGGAGTTCTATGAGATAAGAGATATCTCAACCGTTCTCTACGCTCAGAATCGCTCAACGGAACGTGCGGAGGCAGCATGTAATTGAAGCAACACCTTGACTGTCAGAGTCTGTAATAGACGCCCAGGCCTCTTCCCTGTTGCATACTGCGCTCGCCTCACCATGCGTGATAACCTCCGCTGACAAAGAAGCTAATGGTTCGTCAATGTTAGCACGCTGTCCAGAGCGACTGTGAGCCTCAAGACGCACTCGCTTCCCGTACAGAACGAGCTTGCGTCGCTTGCAAGCCACACAGCGACCCCTCGGAGCTCGTCGGGACGTCCAATCCGCGCGAGTGGGTGCTGCTCGATCCACTTCTCCTCCAAATCAGGACGCATGGCAAGGAACTGGGCCGTCATTCTGTCAGATGTCAGACACGTTAACCCAGACTGAATGGGGTATGGAACCTAGTCGAGGGTACGTACCTGGTGTTTATCGAGGCAGGGCTGACTGTGTTGACTCGGATATTCTGAGGGCCCAGCTCACAGGCCATGCTGCGCGCCATCTGAAGTACGGCTGACTTCGACGTGTTGTACGACGTCCATGAATGGCCCTAACAGCCGAAGAAGATGCTAGGTGTTCAAGAGCCGGAAGTATGCATGAGCTTGCTCACCTTATTCCCTCCATGCCCGCAGATGCTGGCCATCATGATGATGCTTCCTCCTTTCCCGAAACGCTCCATTTGTTGGCCAGCTGCTTGCGCCGTGAACAGTACGCCGTTGATGTTGACGTCATGAACCTGGTACAGATGCTTCATCTACATCGACATCACGCTAGGCTGTAACTTCGCTTGCCTGCTTGAATTGCTTCTCAGGGTACGTCAAACACGGTGTATCGCTCTTCAGTATACCCGCGGCAGCGATGCATACGTCCAATCGTCCTTCCCGATCACCAATTGTCTTTCCGATCGTCCACATCGCTTCCTGACCTCATGGAATCTTGGTGAGCACCCTTTTCACTCAGATTGGTTAGATACCCACCTGATCAGTTACATCGCCGCTGATGTACTCCAGCCTGCCCTCGCCACCCGTCCCTTTCAGCTTCTTCGCAAACTCGTTAACCTTCATCCACTCCTCTCCAGGCGTCTGGGGCAAATCTAGACAATACACGGACCGCGCTCCTGCTTCGACGAGCGCGAGGGCCATCTCGAGCCCTATTCCTCGATTGGCACCCGAGACGAGCGCGACATGGTCCGCGAGAGAGAACTCATTAGCGAAGATGGTCGGCGTCGGCTCTGTCCGAGTTTAGCTATCAGGATCGTAGGCACTTAAGGGAGGTACCGATGAGTGCGTACCAGCCGTCGGGGATGCTTCCAGTGCTCGAGCAACACCCACTCGTCCGTAGGGAGGAAGTGGGCCGGTTAGGTGTCCAAGCGCTGTATGGGTAGATGCAGTGGTCGAGAACGGAGGGCGCGAGCAAAAGGGCGCTCTGAGCCGCGAAGTGATAGTGCAAATGCTCCTGAAGTTGGTAATCATACTGAAGAGCTAAAACTTGCAGGGGGCAGCGTGAACGCAAGGTCGTCGTTGCAAATATATATATATTCCGACGCTCCTGGGCTTCCTTCTTCTCCTCTTGGAGCTCTCCGGCACTCCGTGGACAAGAGAACGCAAGAATGCCGAGGAGGGCTTGCTAGTGCTCGTCACGGGAGTCCCATTTGCCCCCTAACGTGAGACTTAGTATATCTGTACGTACCCTTACGTCTCTTCCTAACTTCTTCATTCTACAGCGACGTTACATTGAACATCGATCTCTCACGTGAACCAGAAGAGGTTTTTGCGCGACTCAGATCGCATCCAAGAAGTGGACATTCGGCGGGCTTACTAACAATTGATCTCGTGCTCTCGAGCAAGAAGCGACTGCGAGGTTTGGGCCCGTACTATGCAAATGTATTTCTTGACTGAGGTAACTTTGCACTAATTGTATAGCTAGTGCTGCCTCCTGTCACCAGCGCGAGGTGTCTCCACAGATTCATCAGGAAACGATACGTCACTCATTCCCTACCCGTACAGAACGAGCTTGCATCGCTCGCTCGCCACGTTCATCGGCCCTTTCACACCATCCAAGCGGATTACCCTCTGAGAATCGCTTCCCTAGCTCCAGAATCTATGAGGATCTTATGCTAGTATCAACGTAGCAGCCGCACATTAGTATGTTCATGAGTTGGCCCACGTGTGACTGATAATGAACTGACCTTGTATCCTTGGACCTTGGGCTCAGAAAGTTCACCCTGGTCTGATGGGCGCACAATTGGCATGCAAGGCCGCCGGCCATTGATAGGACGATACCCTTGAAGCACTGGTACGCTGTCCTCATCCCGTATTTCGAGTTCAAGCACGTGGAAATGAATGATCGCACTATGTTACAATGTCGCAGCCTGGTCGTCGCCCGGACTTCGATCTCAGCTCTCAGACTGCACCTTGACTTCTTTCTCTTTCTTCCTTACCTTCCCTCGCAAACGCCCTTGCTTCACCATGCTTGATAGCCCCCACTCACGAAGAAGCTGGAGATCCGCTCTCGTTAGCACATTATGTTAACTGGATGTGAGTTTGGACAGGACACGCACTCGCTTCCCGTGCAGAACGAACTTGCGTCGCTTGCGAGCCACACGGCCGCGCCTCGTAGCTCGTCAGGACGTCCAATCCGCCCTAGTGGGTGTTGTTCAACCCACATTTCCTCCACCTCGGGGCGCGTCGCTAGGAACTGGCCCGTCATACTGTTAGGTGGAATATGCGCGGATCCCACCCTCTGTCAGCCAATCACTCGCGGTTCCATGTGCAGAGAATGGCGTACCTGGTATTGATATATGCTGGGCTGATAGTATTCACCCGGATCCTTTGAGGGCCAAGTTCGCATGCCATACTACGTGCCATTTGAAGGACGGCGGATTTGGACGTGTTGTACGATGTCCATGGATGACCCTAGCATGACACGAGTAAGCACCTACCGAAGCGCGAATCAGGTGAGAGCAAGCCCACCTTGTTTGCACCATGTCCAGAAATACTAGCGATCATAATGATACTCCCTCCATTCCCGAATCGCTGCATTTGCTGACCGGCTGCCTGAGCAGTGAAGAGCACGCCGTTCACGTTCACGTCGATAACCTGTTGCAGGTGTTTCTTATTAGTCTTCAGTATTATCTAGGGATACAATACCTGCTTGCCTGCTTGAATTGCTTCCCAGGATACGTCAAACACGGTGTGTCGCCCTTGAGTATACCAGCAGCAGCGATGCATACATCCAATCGTCCTTCCCGGTCACCGATTGTCTTTCCGATCTTCCACATGGCCTCCTATCCTCGCCAACACTCGGTAAGCAACGTCACTAGCTACACCCTCTGCTGTACTGACCTGGTCTGTTACATCGCCACTGATGTATTCCAGCCTTCCCTCCCCGCCCGTTCCTTTCAACTTCTTCGCAAACTTGTTCACCTTCGTCCATTCCTCCCCCGGTCCTCCAGGTATGTCGAGACAATACACCGCGCGGGCCCCAGCCTCGACGAGTACGAGAGCCATCTCTAGCCCGATGCCCCGATTCGCACCCGAGACGAGCGCGACGCGGTCCGCGAGAGAGAACTCATTAGCGAAGATGGTCGGCGTCGGCTCTGTCCGCGGTTGGATATCAGAATCGTAGGCACTGAATGGAGGTACCGAAGAGTGCGTACCCGTGCTTGGGGATGCTTCCAATGCTCGAGCAACGCCCACTCGTCCGTAGGGAGGAAGTGGGCCGGTTAGCTGTCCACGCGCCGTATGGGTGGATGCAGTGGTCGAGAACGGAGGGCGCGAGCAAAAGGGCGCTCTAAGCCGCGAAGTGATAGTGCAAATGCTCCTGAAGTTGGTAATCATACTGAAGAGCTAAAGGTGACTGTAGGAACCAGCGCGAATGCAAGGTTTTCGTTGCAGCTATATATCATATGACGCTCCTGGGCTTCCTCTTTCCCCGCTTGGAGCTCTCTGGCACCCCGCGGACGTGGGGATGAAAGAACGCGGAGGAGGGTTTGCCGGTGCTCGTCACGGGAGTCGCGTTTGTACCCTAACGTGAGACTTTGTATCTCAGTAAGGTACCCTTACGTCTCTTCCTGACTTCTTCACTCTGCGGTAACGTCACATTCAACATCGATTTCTCACGTGAACCAGAAGAGGTTCATGTGCGACGAAGATGGCATCCAAGAAGTGCAACCTCAGCAGGTATACTGACAATTGATCTCCTACTCTCAAGCAAGAAGCGATTGCGAGGTTTGGGCCTGTGCTGTGCAATTGCATCTCTTGCTTGACTTTGATTAGGTTCGCACTGAATCTATAGTTGATGCTGTCTTGTGTCACCACGCTTGCGCTGGTAATCGTCACCGACGGTCATATACGGATGAACCAGATTACTTTAGTGTCCACAGATTCGTGTGGGAACAAAGAGTCCCTCATTATCCGCCTCACAGAACGAGTTTGCATCGCTCGCTCGCCACATACCCACATTGTGTAGTTCATCTGACCTTTCACAATGTCCAAGCGGATTACCCTCCAAGAATCGCTTCCCTAGCTCTAGAATCTTCAAGGACCTCATGCTAATGTCAATGTAGCAGCCTGCTACATTGACATTAGCATGAGGTCTAGGTGTGTTCATTCTGTTTGACCTCTCCCCGCCTGCCCCGTTGAGTCACCGTGAACTCCATGGGTGCAGCACGAACTGGGTGCTCTCCTCGCGTGCGCGTAAGTTCCTCCATCCCTTGTCGTCGTGTACACTTCCTGTTCGTGTGTGATATCCATGTTCTCCAGTAAGTACATGCAGTAGCACTGGACTAACATCGCAATTCCTGTTTCGAACTATTGTTCCTTCGCCGCTCCTTCTCCCTACCCTCTATTAGTATATACATCAATAGCCTATCCCGGATGCCTAGTTTGTCCTGTAGATCCGTCTCACCTAGCCATAGATATAGTTGTTGTGTCATGTTGTACTAGAGTTGTACTAAAGTATATGAATGTTCAATACAATTGCGTGTCCCCATTTGTAATGTGTAATGACAATATATATATGACTCTAAAATGAGTGTACGATTATTGAAATAAGAGCGGCGTAAGAGGGCATTCTTGATCCATTTGCGCAGCGCACTTATTGACATAATGGCCATCTATTCGGCAGCTCATTAGGACGGGACTAAGCTAATGAGACTAATGCCCTAATCGGCCTAATTGAGGGTAATTATCCCTCATTAGCAAGTGCAGTTTTTCCTGATGAGGGGCCACACTTCAGTAGGTGCATGAGATGGCCCACGTGTAACTGATAATGAACTGACCTTGTATTCCTGGAACTCGAGCTCAGAGACTTCACCGTGGTCCGATGGGAGGACAATTACGAGTTTCGAGTTAAAGCATGCGGAAATAAATGGTTCCACTATGTTACAATATCGCAGCCTGGTCCTTGCCCGGACTTCGCTCTCAGCTCGCGGACTGCGCCTTGACCTCTTTCTCTTTCTTCTCCGGTGACCTACCCTTGCTTCACCATGCCTGATAACCCCCACTCACTATGAAGCTGGAGATCCGCCATCGTTAGCAAATTATGGTCAACTGAATGTGAGATGGGGCGGGACACGCACTCGCTTCCCGTGCAGAACGAACTTGCGTCACTTGCGAGCCACACGGCCGCGCCTCGTAGCTCGTCGGGACGTCCAATCCGCCCTAGTGGGTGTTGTTCAGCCCACACCGCCTCCAGCTCCGGGCGCGTCGCCAGGAACTGGCCCGTCATGCTAGTATATAATCATGCGCGGATCCCAGCCTCCGTCAGCCAATCACTCGTGGTTCCATGTGCAGAGAATGGCATACCTGGTATTGATATATGCTGGGCTAATAGTATTCACCCGGATCCTTTGAGGGCCAAGTTCGCATGCCATACTGCGTGCCATCTGAAGGACGGCTGATTTGGACGTGCTGTACGATACCCATGCATGACCCTAGCATGGGACGAAAGCATAGGCATCTAAAGAAGCTCGAATTAGGTGAAAGCCAGCCCACCTTATTTGCAACATGCCCAGAAATACTAGCAATCATGATGATACTCCCTCCTTTCCCAAACCGTTGCATTTGCTGACCGGCTGCTTGAGCAGTGAAGAGCACGCCGTTCACGTTCACGTCGAGAATCTGTTGCAGGTGTCTCATATTAGTCTTCATTGCTCCCCGGAGAAAAGACCTACTTGCCTGCTTGAACTGCTTTTCAGGGTACGCCAAGCACGGTGTCTCGCCCTTAAGTATACCAGCAGCAGCGATGCATATATCCATCCGTCCTTCCCGGTCACCGATTGTCTTTCCGACATTCCACATAGCCTCCTATTATCACCAACACTCGGTATGCGACCTCACGCCACACCCTCTGCCGTACTGACCTGATCGGTTACATCGCCGCTGATGTACTCCAGCCTGCCCTCGCCACCCGTCCCTTTCAGCTTCTTCGCAAACTCGTTAACCTTCATCCACTCCTCTCCAGGCGTCTGGGGCAAATCTAGACAATACACGGACCGCGCTCCTGCTTCGACGAGCGCGAGGGCCATCTCGAGCCCTATTCCTCGATTGGCACCCGAGACGAGCGCGACATGGTCCGCGAGAGAGAACTCATTAGCGAAGATGGTCGGCGTCGGCTCTGCCCGCGTTTGGGTATCAGGATCGTAGGCACTGAATGGAGGTACCGAGGAATGCGTACCCGCTGTTGGGGATACTTCCAATGCTCGAGCAACGCCCACTCGTCCGTAGGGCGGAAGTGGGCCGGTTAGCTGTCCAAGCGCTGTATGGGTAGATGCAATGGTGGAGAACGGAAGGCGTGAGCAGCGTCGCGCCCCTAGCTGCGAAGTGATGGAGCGGACACCCCTGAATTTGGTAATCATGTTGAAGAGCGTAAGTGTGCAGGGGGCAGCGCTCTTATGAAGCCATAGTTGTACTATATATGCCCGCCGCTCGTGAATAGGCTGTTTCCCCAGTCGGCACGCTCTAAAACTGCGTGGACAAAAGAATGTGAGAACGCCGAGGCGAGTTCACGATCCTTGTCACGGGAGTCGTATTCGTACTTCGACAGAAGACCCAATGGCTACAACCGGCGACGCTTCCTAACTTCTTGTTGCTTCAGAGACGTCATATTTATCATCGATCTCTCACATGAGGTTCGAGAGAGTCCACGTGTATTCCACATCACGACCAAGAACTCCAGCACGCGGTACGCCTTCCCCGCGACCGCGAAGGGGAAGCGATTGCAGAATACAGGCCTGTACGGCGTAATTTCGTTACTCTGGTGAAGCTCGCACCGATCGAATATACCCTCTGGTCTTGCGTCACCAAGCATGGAGGCCACCACTGACGATTATGCTGATGAACCATGACTCAGTGGCTCTGCGAAATTGATCAGAAAAGAGGCTTCACTCACTCGCTACCGGTGCAGAAAGAGCTCGCATCGCTCGCAAGCCATGCAACCACACCGCGTAACTCATCGGGTCTTCCAATTCTTCCCAGTGGAGCGCGCTCCGAGAGCCGCTTCCCTAGCTCCGGAATCTCCAAGAAGGACGTCATGCTAACGTTAGTGCAGCACCGAAGCATACGTTAGTTGCTGAGCTGGCTCAATATGAAGATGTGGAACATTGACCTCGTCTGAATGAATCCTGGACTTAGTGAGTTCACCCTAATCCGATGTGGGCCCAATTCGCATGCGAGGGTACGAGTCATCGATAGGACGGCACCCTTGGAGGAATGGTACGCTGCGTCGCGCACGTTCGGCTACAAGGAAGAGAAGAAGGCGCGATGATATCAGAGGGCGGCTCAGTTGGTTGATGAAGGCGTTGACAAGTTAAGCATACCTCCTCCCGTATCTCCATTGAAACACTTCCAAGGACGCTGGCGATTAAGATGATGCTCCCGCCGTTTTTGAATTGCATCATTTGCTGACCAGCCGCTTGTGCCGTGAACAGGACCCCATTCGTGTTCACACTCATAACCTGTCAAACAACGTGAGCTATCGTCGTTCCGCAAGGTGTCTTGGATCGGGTCATACCCGTTGGAACTGTTCGCTAGGATGCTCAAGTCCGGATACGTCTCCCCCAGTGGTGGTCCCTGCCCCGGCCACGCAAACGTCCAACCGACCCTCCCGCCGACCTATGAGTTCTCCGACTTTCCACATGCCTTCCTACAAGCAGCGCCTCCGATGATCAATTCCACCATCTACTTCATGATTGAAGGTAGTACGCTTACCTGATTGGTAACATCCTGGTTGATATACTCGAGCTTCCCTCGTCCCAACCTCTCCACGAAGCTGTGTACCTTCGTCCAGTCTTCTCCGGGCTCTTTCTGGAAGTCGACACAGTATACGGTCCGCGCCCCGGCTTCGGCGAGCGTCAGCGCAGTCTCCAGGCCAATCCCACGGTTGGCTCCTGTCACGAGTGCAATGCGGTCCGTGAGCGAGAACTCCTTCGTGAAGAGCGTCGACTCCGTAGCTGATGGCCGCGCTGATTAGCTCGAGGGGCATGTAGGGATGGAGAATGAGTGGAAACATACGGGTAGAGGGAGACTCGAGGATACGTGCAACGCCGACGGCGCCGTATGCAGGGAGCGGGCCTGTTAGGCGTCTGTCGGCGGAGGGACTGCATGAGCTGCTGGAGAAATGTGCGGAGAGTTTGCGTGCAGGCCGAGAGAAGGCCGGTGGGAAGCGTCGTGTGACCGGCAACATTGCTTGAGTAGCTACGAGGCGATTCTGCGAAGGGTTGGTAGTCGCTGTTCTGTAATGTCAGATGCATTTATAGTCACTGTAGGATCACGAGGTCAACGACCCTCATAGCCGATCAAAGCGTGAGATGTGGCGGAGTACAAAAACGATGTACTGTCAATGAAGGGTATTGAGGGACCACATTTATACTGGAGAGCACATCGGCCCGGGCCTGAGAGCAAAAGGTGGTAGTTGCGGTGTCCTATGGAAATCGGGAATAACGGACCGATCATCAAAGCTCCCAAGCATCGCTGAGAGTCTATGTCAAGTTCGGAATGATGAATTCACTGGTAGGAGGAGCAGGTTGCGACTACTTACAGGGAGATTTATGAACGAAATCGGGGAACTACCAAGCTCCGAGTCGCTGACTGCCCTTCACAGATGTAGGGACGTCCTTGTTACGTTCTCATCCGTGGGGTGATTCTTGGACTGGACGAAGCCCATTACGTTGTCTTGATCCCCGTTGTTGCCCTGCAAGACCGGGTCTCCGAGTCGGGGTATGCCTTCCAAACATGTCGCAACCACTTGATGAATACGAGGGAGTTGCTGTGCAGATGGGGGGCTCATATTCGTGAAGGGGGACGGTGCAAGGGGTAGGGTACCGTACTGCGGGCAAGGGAGGAATGCAGGGGACAGGAAGTCTGCATTTCGGACGCTCTTCCCATGCCGGTCACAGGGGACCGTGGTACAACTGTGGTATTGTGATTTGGCTAATCCTGATCGGGAAATGGAGACGCCTGCTACGCGGGAGATGGCATTAAGCTGCCTTCCGATTGACGCGGAATAGGAGCAGAGCCAGGGTGATGAGGCCATCGAGGCACGGCTGATGTCGACGTTGATAGATAGCAGATCCCAGCCGTCAACGCCACTATTGGTACTGCAAGCCACAGTAACAACGTTTGTCTGAGGACCACAGTCATGTGGCTGCGAGGCTGAATCAGCAACCACGATGACACCATATCCCGGCCTCCCACAGCATCCTTACACACACCCCTCACACACATATATAATATACAGTCGGCAGAACACAAGTCCATCGCCTCAACGCAACACTCACCATGCCCGAGAGAATCACCCTCTACACTGCCAAGGTACCCCTGCCTATCGTCTCTGTCCATGCGATTACAACAGTCCTCATCTATGTCTGCACAGATCTGCCCCTTTGCACAGAGGGTGAGCACCCATATATACATCTTATCGCCCCCACACTAACCACACGCGAAGACGGAGATCGCCCTGCACGAGGCCAAGGCAGACTTTGTTAGGTATGAGATTGACCTCCAGAACAAGCCCGAGTGGTACGCGCCTAAGGTGAACCCCGCGAGCAAGGTACGTCCCATTCTATCGCGCATATACCCTCTCTCGAGTCCAACCTGTTTACCACGCACATAGGTCCCCGCGATCGCCTACGGCGGCCCCGAGGCCCCGCCCGACGATCCCTCGCCCCAGTCGGTCAAGCTCGCCGAGTCGCTCATCCTCGTCGAGTTCATCGGCGACCTCTTCCCCCAAGCGAGCATCCTCCCCGCGGACCCCGTCAAGCGCGCCCAAGCGCGCTTCTTCGTCGACGTCGTCTCGAACAAGCTCGTCCCCGGCTACCACCAGTACCTCCAGGGCAAGAGTTCCGCCGACGACCTCTACAAGGTCGTCGAGTCTCTCGAGTCCCTCCTGCCGTCTGAAGGTTTTGCCGTGGGCGAATACTCGCTCGCAGATATCGCGATCACGCCCTTCCTCGCGCGCGCACGCGTTGCGCTCTCCTACGACCTCGGGGCGTACCCTCAGGGCGAGGGCCCGAAGGTCCTTGAGGCGCTGACCAACAAGCAGGGCAAGTTCCCGCGGTTCGCTAAGTACTTCGAGGACCTGCTCGCCCGGGAGAGCTTCAAGGCTACCTTTGACGAGGTATGCACGCTTCGAGTTACGTCATGATCTGCCGCTGACCTCGACACCCCCGCAGGCGTACCTTACCGAGAGATACAAGGCTCGCTTTGGGAACCTCAGGAACCAGCAGTGACTGACTGGGACGAAACTGTAGCTATACCTGTACGAGTAGATAAAGGCGAATGCAGAAGTCACGCACATCTTGAGCACTAAGAGATACGCAAACTCACCTCATTCCGGTTTGCTAAGTCGTACTGGACGCTCAGGTCTACAAAGCGTGATGTACAACAGATCCATCACGACTGAATAAAATACACACGATCCGAGTCAAATTGTACTCAGCCTCGTCTCAACCCGGCCTGGTGTCCATTGTCTCGAGGTTCCTCCCTTTTGTCGACTCCGCACCCGGATCGCCGCCAACTGCCTCGAGAATGGCCTTCATATCCTCGGCCCGTCCAACGCTGTAAGCCGCAGCAGCAGCCGCGCCGACCTCTGCGCTCCCCTCCCCGAACCACGCGTCGCCCTCGTCGGCCTGCTCACCCTTGGCTCTTTCCTTTGCTCTTTCCATGAGCTGCGCGACCGCCCAGTTGAGGTAGCCGGTCTTGCTCGTCTCCCATGGCCGTTTTCCTGGTTGGTCGGGCACCGGAGTAGGCGCGGAAGCGTCGACGGGGGGCAGGGACGAGACGGCGGCGTACATGGTCTGGAGCTCGGCGGGAAGGGAGAGGAGAGAGTGCATCTGGGGGGCTCGGAGGAAGGCGAGGCGGTCAAGGCGGGCGCGGGCGTGCTCGAGGTCTTTGGAGGACTTGCGGACGGCGCGGGTGAAGAGACGTTTGAGTTTGCGTTGCTGCCGGCGGCGAGAGGCACATGAGCGTGGTTGACACGCGAGGAACACGGGGAACAAGGCCAGGAAGATAGAGAACGGAGCTACGCGACGTACCGCATGCACTTTCCGCCTGAGTTCGTCGATTTCCGCAAGCAGTTCTCCTTCCCTCTCCGGCTCGTCCGAGGCGCGCTGGAGGTCCAAACCCGCCTGGTGCGGCGCGACGACGGGCAGGTCGGCGTCAACAGCGAAGATGTTACGCATTGACCAGGCCTCGAAGAAGTCAAAGGCGACGTCGACGTGCGACTCAAGCAGCGTCTGGAACGCGACGAGGCCCTGTTCAATCTCCTGCGTCGGGTCCCAGTCGGGGTTGTTGGACTTGGGGTCGGGATTGGAGACGCGGGCGTCGGCCCAGCGCTGGAGGAACTGTTCCATGGCGTCGACGGAATGGCGAGCCTCGTCGTTGGCAATGTTGATGATATCGTCGAGGAGGAACTGGGGTATGAAGCCAAGTAGCTCGGGGAGGAGGACAGAAGGAACGGTGGGCGGCGGTCCTGCAGGAGCACTCATCGTTGTCTTGCTTCGGAGACGGTCGCGAAGCGATTCAAACGGTGGTCGTGCAGTCACTAGTCGCAGTGTCGCGTGCGGTGGTCGCAGTGTCGCGTGTGGTAGTCGCAGTGTCGCGTGTGGTAGTCGCAGTGTCGCGTGTGGTAGTCGCAGTGTCGCGTGTGGTAGTCGCAGTGTCGCGCGCGGGCAGTACTAGTGCCAGTGGCAGTCGATGCGAGACGGACGAGGCCCGTGTCAGGTCACGTATGTCACAGCATGTCACACCCGTATGTTTCAGAGCACATACTACGCGACATGTCCGCTGGTACATATTATACCAATACATGCACTAGCACACTTCATTCATTCTCCTCCCGTCGTTCGACTCAACTTTGCACAGCCGATCGCGGCGGCTTCCTCCCCGACGGTCGTATATCCTTGTCGTCCACCATCCAACTCACGCTCCCCATCGTCGAGTCTACAACCTGCCTCCTCCCGCTCCCCGGGTAGTGCGACACATCCAGCGGCTCCCTGCTCCCTCCCAACAGATACACCATCTCCCTCTCTCCCGCCTTCAACGCGTGCGCCCTCTGGATGCCTGCCTTGAATCCAATGAAGTCCCCCGCCTTCAAGCCCTCCTCCCTCGGTATGACCTCCTCCTCCATAGCCACCTTTCCGTCTGCGCGCTCGTTCTCCCCGGGCTCCCAGATGAGCAGCCTCGCGTCCTCCCCCGCCTCCAAGATGTAGAACCACTCGTCCTCGTGCGAGTGCCAATGCAGCGTCGTGCTCGTCGCCCCGGGAGGCAGACGGCAGTAGTGCACCCCCAGCTTCGTCAGGCCTGCACTGTCCCCAAGCGACACCTGGTACCGTTCGTTGGACGCTACGACAGGGTGCGGGCGGTGCTCGAGCGCGGACAGAGGGAGCTCAGTCGTGCGGACCAGGTAGCGCGCAGGCTTCTCGGGAGGCATGTCGAGCTCGTTACGACGCAGGTAGGTCGCAGGCGAGTAGTGGGCTGCGCGACGCTCGTGCGGTAGATGCAGGTCGCCCAGAACGCAGGGGCTCGTGGTACTAATAGCGGGTCATTCTAATCCGCGGGAATCATATGACTCCTGGTGAGTCGAGCATGTTGATTGGGCTCATGCCCGAGGGCCGTGAATCAGCCACTCGGTGAGCAATACGACTTCCGCCAAGTATAGACTCACTGTGGGGCTTAGGGCGTTGAGTCTGCTGCCAGGACGCGGGCCGAAGAATGCCATAGCTTCTGTCGCTTGCCATATGATTTTGGAAGTATCCTGGCACGCAAGGCCCATTGTAAATGCGGCGGTCGTCGTGAACGTGGACTCGTGATTGCTAGCTACCATTTGAAACGTCTCTACCGTTCACTGCGTGATGCCTGACATGGGAATGTCTTTCGCTCTGACGCCTTGCCAATAGATCGAAAGGACCTACTACCGTGGCCTATTGCTTTTGCTTTCGTTACGTTCGGTTCGAGCGGGAGGCACTCTGGGGGAGCTGCAGAAGATAGGTCTCCGGCGTAGATGTAAGGTGGGTACTTGAAGATTGGGGGTCCCTCTCGGTGCCATCTAGCGGGGGTGGTATGATTCTGAGCGTATCGTATACATGCCGATGCGTACCGACGGTTTCGTTTTTAGGAGACCCTGATGGTCAATAATTGAGTAGTCGACGTAAGAGGTCGACAATGATCATAGCTCCGACTTGTAGGATTTTGTGGTAGAAACCGCCAGACCAGAAAACGATCTCTTGCAATTACATATAGATATAGCACAAAAACGATATACTCCGAGGTATCACAAATAGAAGGGTATCCCATAGATAACAGGTGCCGCGCCAGTCAGGTACCGAAGCTTACAGCTGTCTCGTGCACGGGACACGGCCTTGACGATCGACATAGGCGTGCGATCCCCACCTCCGGGACACCACTTCTTCACTGCATCTGGGTTGAGATGGAGATCATCGAAAACGGACTGCGAGAATTTATCAATGTCGCGGTCTGTCACGTCCCATAGATTTGCGACAAGAGTTGGGCTATAGGCGATGAAACAGCTATCAGCAATGGTACAGGACGGGATGCTATGAAGGCGACATACCAGCCAGCTAACATGTAGTGATAAGGGGTGCCCGTCCGATCGAAGTCACCCATATACTTCAATGTGCCAGAGGAACATCCCCATAGCATCGTGGCTGCGCAACGCTGCAAGTGGCGAACTTTGTGCGAACGTACGTATTGCTCAGCGCCACCGTGCCCGAAGTAGCTGTATAGCGACAGATCAGTATCTATTCGGAAATATATCCAAGACACTTACATCACGAGGTCGCGATTTGCCAGCGCATCTAGGAACTGTTGCTCACTAGGCGGACGGCCAATGATGCCGTCCCAACCGGCGGTCTTCATTTCCTTGAGCCAGCTGGCGAATCGGCCTTCTGTGCCCTTCAGATCTCCACTAGGATTGAGTACGAAGTAGGTCTTGCGAGGGTCAACTGTGGCTCGGTCAAGCGAGGTAGCTTGAGCCCTTTGCTTTTGCAAGCGAGAGAACTCGAGACGATCCAGCAGGAAGTCGACGCTTGGGATGCGACTTGTACTCTTTCCTCTGAGGACGGGGAGAGATTCCCAAGGAATGCCTTGGACGTTCTTGTCTAGAACGAGGAAGATATGCCCGTCCTCATCCACGTCGATGGAGCGAGCCTTCAGCCGCACCGAGTGCTCTTCCAGAGCATTGCGTAACTCGACGACGATCTGATCCATATCCACTTCCGATATGGCGATTGGAATTCCGTGGAACTGGTATAGGTCGAGGATGAAGTATATGAGGTCCTCCAACTCCTCGTCGCGACACGTAGGAGGAAGGCGGGAGAAGCATTCGAGAAGACCGTCATCGAGGCCAATCCGCGATTTGGGTTTCTTGTCTTGGAACACGAGGCTGCCCATGAATATGGTGTCCAGACGTGACCTGAGCACCGCTAAGTCGTCTGGATGGACGTCTCTGGAAGCATTGAAGATTGTCTGGAAGGCATCCGTTAGACTGTTATGAGGAGGCAGAAATGAACGACCCGAACCTTGAACGCTCCGAGCCAGCAGAACTCGATGTCGGTCAAGAGCTCTTTGAGTCGCGTGTCGAGTGCAGTCCGACTCTTCCACCATGCAACGCGAGCAGCCTTATCGTCCTTCTTGACGTCTCCAGCCTGACGTGCGCCTTCGTCACTCAGTCGGATTATCTCCTGAAGTTCACCGATTGCATCTTCGAACGTCAGATGTTCATCTTCTTGTCCGTCTCGTCGTCCTTTGAGCGGCAAGCAGAATATGAGTGGCTTCTGGCCTGTACGTTGACGAGTGACAAACATCGTGTGCCTATCCTCAGTAACACTAACATTGACAACAGTCCAGTTCGCAGGCAGTGCGTCGACTTGGCTGATCGACAGACGTTGCGAGTCGAAACATTGCTCTCCGTATCGCTTAGCTATGGAATCCCAGTAAGACTTGAGGTCGACGTCGTCGAGCGATTCCTCGTCGTCGTCATTCTCTTCCGGGAATTTCGGATGACTGAACTGCGCTACCCGTCGAGGCTTGACTGACGGGGGAAGCGGCGATCCATTGGGCGTGATGAGAGGCCATTGCAAGTCGTCGGTCGCGTTGAGTTCCAGGAATTTGTGACGGATGACTTCAACCATCTCGCGTCGCAAGGTAGTCACGGTCGAAGCGTCTGTGTCCTGATACTCAGTCGGTGACTCATTGAGATAGAAAGCGTAAGCACTGACCTAGAAGCTGGGCAGCAAGGATAGGCGTATACTTGTCTCCACGGCCTAGGCTCGTCCGGAAGGTCCTAATCAAGGCCAGACACACCGCTGCGTCACGAACGGAGGACACGTGTCCGCGACGCGCGACATAAGTGAGATGATCCCAGAACAACTTCTCTGCGGTGGTGAGTGTCTCAAGCATATCTTGAGATGCGGACGACGGTGGTATGTCACCCGACATTCCCATCGGAATGGTCATGGCTATGCCTCCTATCAATACAGTGATTGCTGATCGTCTGTTGTGAGCGTACCTGACTCAGCGAGCGAGCTGAGGAACATATCTGCGCGGAAACGGGAGTACACCTCGTCGAGGGTGAGCTTAGCTCTGAGAGCGATCTCCTCCGACTGCGTCTAACGTCAACAACAACCACAGGGATCGGTAAAAGCGAACCACGAACCTTCGTCTCTGCGTTATGAGGCAACTTTGCGAATTTCTCAAGCAGCTGCGTATACTCTTCACCGACCTCATGCAGGAGGGAGACTGTTCATAAAGAACACGTCAATCATTCCTTTATCAAGGTCCATATAGACAACGACAACTGACTCTGATGCCTCAGTACTCTTGCGAGTAGTGTAGGTGCAAGGACACTATCTGACAGCTGAGCGTTCAGAGACCGAGGGGACACGATCAAGGACGTCCTAGCCCTGTTTATTGTATGTCAGTCAACCTGCCAGCAGAATCAGGTTGCGCTTACCAGTTAGCGCCGTCTAGAGCAGAGAACATACTCCCAAGCTCATCGAGGAGAGTCGTTGCTTCTTCGAACAATTGCCGTGCGCCCTTTGAGTCGGCGCTGAGCTGGTTGTACCGGCCCTGTAGCCGCCTGATTTCAGCCGCGTCCGGTCCCTTCAGATGCATCACGAGCTCTGCGGCGCGCATGAGAGACTGGTGGCCCTCCTGCAGTTGACCGAGCTGTATTTGAAGTTCGCCATGTTGGGCGAGAGCGCGGCTAATCATAACAGGGGCATGCAACGATTCCGCGAGGTCTTTCGTCTGCTGGACGAAAAACTCGGCTTCTCGTGCGGACCCGCGAGCTGCGTAGGCCTGGGAAAGGGACAATAGGGTGGAGAGCAGGCCCTCAGCTAAGCGCCACCCGCAGGAGTCTACGAAGACATGCGCTTTCGAGGCGCGAGGAGAGAGTATCCGCGTCTCTTGGCTGGAGGGACCGGAGTCTTCCGGCTGCTTAGAAGTCACTTCGAATGGATTTTCCTCCGCAGGCTGCTTCGTGGGCGTTGAAGGCTGCAGCCGGGAAAGCGTATCAATGGCGCGGTTCCAGAGGCGCAATGCTTGCATGAGTCCCTCGATGGAGGACGTAGGATCGTCCTAGAAGGCAAAGAATCAGATGACACCTCAGAAACAGCCATGGCGCTTACCCTTGCATCCTGGATGGCGGCATATGATAGCGCAGCTTGCGCGGCACGCTCCAAGAGTGCGGCCCGCACACGGACGCGCTGCGCCGTTGGCAAGCCCTTCTCCTCAACTACACAGTCGGCAGCCGTAGCGACGGCATCGCAGTATGTCATCGAGCTGAGAGCATCATCAAATAAGACAGTGACCGCAACGGCAATGACGAGACACTCACGCCTTGAGCACTTCGCCGGACGCCGCAAGTGCCTCTGAGTTTCGCAACAATAGGACGACCACGACGTCCGGAGATAGGGAGCCACTGCGCACAGCAGGGAGAACGTGCGCCAGAATGGACGCAGCCTTCTCAGCTCTTCCCAACTTGACATACTCGTGCGCGATGTCGATCGTCAAAGAGACGTACACTGTGCACCACAGTGAGTACCAGACCGTATCCTCGTATATTCAAGTCGACGAAGCTTACCTTCAGAAGCCACGCCAGTATGCCTCTCGCTCAATCGCCTGGCTGCGTTGAGTAGCTGCACTCTGACGAGGATGTGGCCGACCAATCCGATGAGATGAGACACCATACCTATCCGAGATATCAGCTTCAACATCCACAATACATACACCTAGGCACTTACGGATGAGCCCGATGAACTTCGAGAAATCGTCAAAATCGACCTTGACCTGGACCCCGTCGGTCGCAGTAGCCTTCGGAGGAGTCACAACTGCCGCGTTGAGTGAGACAGGATCCAGCGCTCTCCGCCTCCTTGGCGTAACGGGTGGAGCCTTGGGCTTCGTCGCGCGTGGGGCTGCTTTTGTGCGCCCCGTGGCGGCGGCCTTGCCTCTCGTCATCCTCCGCGGAAGTTGTGACTCGGCGGGAGCAGGCTCGACGATCTTGTTCCTCGGCGCTTTCGAAGTACTGCCGAGGAGGGACGGCCTTGGGCCGACGGAATACCTGGGAACGGGAGCGGGAACCATGGCACGTATTATCTTGCAAGCTTCCTCTGTGTGAGAGATGACGGAGGGCGAGAGTGCAGGGTCACGCGTGCGATGCGCGTGGACTGCAAGCCAAAGATGGAGCGAGGCCGAGAACTCGGATGAGTATTGGGCGAGGGCGCCGTCAAGCGCAAAGTCCTGTCAGCGCACATATTCAGTGACAGCTCGGAAATGATGTCGTCCACGGATAGCCACAGGCGAGAAGTCGAGACGACACACCTGGCGCGAGAGGAGGCTCTTGGCTTCCTCATGATACTGCGTCGCATCTTCGTTCTGCTCCGTGCTCGTCAAGCCGGAGTGGTAGGACAGCTCGAGTCTCTTGAGCAGGACGCGCGCACGTCGCACAGGACGCTGCTCCGCCGTGTACACCTCGAGCGCGTCTTCGATCAGCCTGCGCAAGACACTCTGTACACCCTGCTTCCATTTGCTCTCTTCCAGGCTGCTGATCTGCCGCTCGAGAATTGCGCCAAGGACACAAGCGGTATCGTCCTTGCTCAATGTAGACGAGCCGACAGCAAACCAGGATGAGGCGGAGACAGCCTCGGGGCCTTTGAAGAGCTCGCACGAAGCGATGTACGTGACGCGGTCTACGAGTGCGCCGAGCTGCTTGAGCGCGGGGGAGGCCTCGAAGAGCGCGGTGGGCGGAGTTGTGCGTGCTAGCTCAGCCAACTTGTGCTGAGTGAAGGGGAAGGCGCTGACGCTGTTGAGGAACGCCTCGTACGCAGACTACGTCCGGGATGAGCTAGAGAAGCTCGTGAAGAAGTCAAATCAACGTACCGTGCGGTCGCCCGTCTTCGCATGGCACACAGCCAAGAGCTCCCACCGTCTGTAGAGCTGCTCCTCAAGCAGCTTCCAAGCCTCCTCTTTACCCTTGCTTTCGCCATCAACGTCTGTGCTCGCATCGTTCTTGGCCGCGTGATACATCTGCAGCGCGCGTTGCCCGAGACGGCAGCCTTCTTCCGCCAAGCGCACTGTATGGTCATAGCGTCCGCTTTGATGCAGCTGTCCCGCGAGGTAGTGGTATACCCCCGCGACGCAGCGTGTGTAACCTGCGAGTGCTAGTTTAGAGACTGAGCTGGACGCAGGTGGGTCGGAGAGAAGAGCAGCAGCGCGTGCAAGATGGGAATGCGCAACGGTGTAGGTGTCTGGGTTGTTTACTACGAACGAGGTCCGCGCGAGGGTAAACAGGGTTTCCAGGGCAGGGGTGAGCGTGCTCGATGAGAACGCATTCCGCTGTCATGGGGATAGTCAGTGCAATGCAAAGTGATCGGACGAATGACGAACCTGAGTAATTGCCTCGCAATGCACGTCCACGATCTGCTCCAAGACTGCTCTCGCAGAACTCTTGACTTCGTGTGTGAAAGAGGTCTTCAACTCCTGGGATGGCTCGACGACTTTGACTGCGGCTCGACGCAGTCTCTCAAGTCCGCGCTTCACCCGGTCGTGGTCGCCACCGCTCTGTGCGAGTGAGGGCCCGCAACCCTTGATGTCGACAGTGAACTCGCTGATCCTGGACGTGAAGTCTGGCGCGTGCTCTGCTCATTTCCGGGTCAGCTCTATTTACCTGAAGGTGTGAACATACGCAAGAACTACTCACCTGTCGACTGTTCGAACACGGCGAGCGCACGGGCGAGCGACGTAGCCAGCACGGATGCTTCGATGACAGTGCGGTCTTCCTCTGCTTGGGACTCGTGGTTTCCATATCGTACGAGCCGGCCTACTTGCTCGAGAGCGCGCAAATCACCCGCCTGCAGGAGTGAGTTCAGCGTCCACGTGAGACGAGCAAGACACAAGTGTCCTGGATCGCTTCGCGAGCCATACTAGACAGGACGACCCGTCCCGACCAGCTGCGCGCATGCTAACGGTACTCGCGCGCGAAGCATGAACTGAGATACAAGGGAGGGCTCCCAAAATCTGGAACGCCGTATTTTCACCCTTCGCCCCTGGGCGCGTGCAGAGACACGGAGGGCATTTGGGCGGGAACGAGAGACGTCGGGAACACTAGGGATATAGTACTCACCTGCTTCGCGAAGCGACTCCAATATTCGCAAAACCGGGCGAAAGCGACTCCGGCCATGAAGTCGGCGCAATCCTGCCTCTTCTCCACGGCGGCAACGAGCCTCGCGCACGAGTCGGACACGGACTGAGCGGCGCCTTCCGGAGAGACTGAGTCTGTGTTGGCGAACATGGCGGTGAACTTGACGGCCTGCTCCCAGAACGTGTTTGGGGCGACGACGGATGGTCGTGTGTGGGCGAGGCAGAGGAGCGAGTATATTCGAAGTGAGTAAGCAGACGAGGCGGGAACAGGGGTGGATGCGAGGCGAGAGGTGATAGTGTACGCGCGGGCAAAGAACTGGTCGTATTGCTTCTCTGGGAGGGTGGACATGGCAGCTGTCCAGGCGAGAAGAGTGGGGATAGCTGGATCGTATAGCGCCGCGACAAGGGCAGGGATATCGGTCGTAGTGTTTGAAAGGACTTGGAGGATTTGTATGAGATAGGTAGATATAAGGCTTATATGGAGTTCTGAGATGGATGGGTCGAAGAGTGGGAGAGCGAGCAAGTCGAGAGGAGAGGGCGCAGAAGGAGGAGGAGGCGCAGGGTGGTAGAGAGCAATAAGAGGTTGACGCATATCTTGGAGGAGGCCAAGGGCGGCGTGGTACTTGACGGAGGATGAGAGGAGTGGAAGAAGAGTGAGGGAGGGGACGTACCATCTCGAGAGTGACGAGCTTGGTGATGATACTCGAGGCCGCTCGCTCAATGTCTACTTGACCCGGGCTGAGATATCGCAGAGTGGTGAGATCTTTGCGGGCAGCGGTGGCAGTCTTTGTGGCAGAGGCGGTGGTAGGGCGGTCGGATGTGTTGGACTGGGACATCCTCCATCCAGAATCGACGAGGGTTGAGAGAGACTTGGATGCGGCGTTGACGGCACGCATCGCGGCTGCCTTGCGCTCCTGCGGAGATGTTTGGAGAGAGCGAGGCATGGGTTTGGCTTTAAAGTCTGAGATGGAGAGTTTAGCGGCAAGGTTGTCGGCAAGATGATCTGGAGAGGGGTCCGGAGTTGTTTGAGTGTTTGCAGAGGCAGCGATTGTAGGACGAGTAGCCTGTTTGCGGGACGTAGTGGATGGAGGCATGGCAGGAGGCCTGGTGGGGGGGAGGAGGTGGTAGTAGGGAAGGAGGTGAGGAGGAGGTGGTAGTAGGGAAGGAGGTGAGGAGGAGGTAGGGTGAGGAGGACACGGTCGAACCGCAGGCGCCCAACAGACGCGTCTCTCCCACGTGATCGTGCTCGGCATGAACGGGCGTGGAAGACGCGTCAACAGGGCCAAACAACGCGCTCTTGCTCTCCCCGCGATGCGTGTGCACGACGAGTACCAGTACCTGAACCTCATCCGCTCTGTGCTCGACTCCGGCGATGTTCGCCCAGACCGCACAGGCACCGGTACTGTCTCCCTCTTCGCCCCTCCCAACCTCCGCTTCTCCCTCGCCGACAACACCCTTCCTCTCCTCACTACCAAGCGCACCTTTCTTCGCGGAATCGTAGAGGAGCTCCTCTGGTTTGTTCGCGGGTCCACAGACTCGAAGCTTCTCTCAGCCAAGGGCATCAAAATCTGGGATGGCAACGGCTCCAAGGACTTCCTTGACAAGCGCGGCTTAGCTCACCGACGTGAGGGTGACCTCGGCCCCGTCTACGGCTTCCAATGGCGGCACTTTGGAGCCAAGTACGAGAGCTGCGATGCAGACTACACCGGAAAGGGCGTCGATCAGCTTCAGGAGTGTATCCGCAAGATCAAGAACGACCCTACAGACCGCCGTATCATCCTCAGCGCCTGGAACCCCGCAGGTCTGTCCCCGTTCTTCATTCCCCTCTCCGTACCTTCGCTCACTCCATCTCGTCCGCAGATATACCCGAGATGGCTCTTCCACCATGCCACATGATGTGCCAGTTCTACGTCCATCTCCCTCCCCCCGACCACCCCGACGCCAAGCCCAAGCTCTCCTGCCTCATGTACCAGCGTTCCGCCGACCTCGGCCTCGGCATCCCCTTCAATATCGCTTCCTACGCCCTCCTCACACACATGGTCGCTCATGTCACCCGTACCGAGCCCCATGAACTCATCATCCAGCTTGGCGATGCCCACGTCTACCGTGACCACATCGACGCCCTCCGCACTCAGCTCGAGCGCGAACCCCGCCCATTCCCCAAGCTCAGGTGGTCGAGGAACGTGCAAAACATCGATGACTTCACATCAGAGGACATCATCGTCGAGGGCTATGATCCCCACCCGAGCATCCCCATGAAGATGAGCGTTTGAGTGTTTCCGTTCGGTCTGTACAGGGTCCGGTTGTTTCGCTCGTATTTGTCTAGGATGTATCATGAATCACTTGCGCTGTCCAGAAATGTATCCATTCTCGTATCGTAGCGCTCTCAGCCCTAGCCGCGTCTTCCTGATAAATTCACCGAACCCACGGTCACAGGAAAGTTCGCACGTTGAGGTTGCAACCCGAAAGAAAAATGATCTGTCGGGATCGAACCCACGTGCTCCACCCGATCGCGGGTACACACTAACCGCTAAGTTACGGAGCCTTTCCAATACCGCTGGCGTTAACGTATATCAACTCTTCCCTCCCAAGTACTGTGTCATGTCGGGAGTTTGGTCGAAATCCCCGCGCGGCCGAGTAACATATCCCCCAACCACTTCATCAAGATACACCTCAACCCCAGTGAGAACCGTCCCTTTTTCGTACGTTTTGTGGCTTTTTCTAGCTTGCATAACGACAGATATCGGTAGACATCGGTAGATATAGTAGGATATAGGCAGATAAAGCCACAAAAAGCCAATTGCCATCACTCATCTTGTTCCTTCTTTTTCTAGCGTTTATGGTCGAGAACGGTCTATTACGGTCTGTCTCGACAGACAGAAAACGACAGAAAAAGCTACATATAGACCCAGAAAGCCCATCGCGCACCCGCACCCGAACCCGCACCCGAACCCGCACCCGAACCTGCATCCTCGCGCGCGCGCGCATCCACGCCCGCGCGCGCACCCGCTATCGCGCCCTCTGCACCCTGCCGCCCGGTAGCCATATTATGCCATGTGTGCCTGCGTCTACCTTACACGAGATAGTCAGCCCGCATTTACACTAGCCACCAGCCCATGACGTACATTCTCTTGCGAGTCCCAGAGTCCCAGGCTTCCTGTCGTCTTATGAATTCTGTACAGACCCGCCCCCCTTGTTAGCGTACAGAAGTAACCAAGGGGGGACATATGCGCACCCCATGTTTGCCTACTCTCTTCTTGCCGCGCGCCCCTTCGAGATCGCCATCGAGGCGTATGTATTTCTGCGTGCAAAATGGATCAATGTTCCCACCTATGTGGCCGCTACGAAGAACATACATGCCGCATGCTTTGAGTGGGTATCCTCTCCTTGTAATACGTGTCGAATTCCGACTCTGTGCCCTCAGGGTTCCGCATTTTCCATATTCTAGCGCAAAGATCTCTTCAAGACAATGTCAGTTTGTGATGAGAAAGACAATGGGCACTCACTTCGGCTTCGTTTTGGACGGTGTGGGCGGCCAGACACGCGTCCGAGGATCTATTTTAGAAGCCTTGATGGCTATGGTCGAGGGTCCGGGACTGGCGCGAGGTGACGGCGAAGGGGATTCAGAGTGGCCATTGGGTTCGGTGTCCAAGGTCGTCCACATATTAGCGCTGTAACACAAGCACATCAGAAGATATATCAATATGACAAGATGGGACAGGGACTCACAGAGGGTCTGGAATCTGCGCAAAGTGCCAGCGCGCGAACACAATCAGAACAATAGACGATGTCGAAGATCACACATACCATGAGAGGATGCTTGCCCGCCTGGTGGATATTGTTGTCGCCCTTATGGGCTTCGGCAGAGAGGGGGATGTTGCGGGGCGCAGAATCTGACATGTCGCCATGCCCCTCCGTTGCCACATTGTCGAACCCCGGCTGGTTGTCAGTACGAGCTGCATTGAGCGTTGCGCACACTTCAGCAATCGCGTTCCCCAAGAGGGGGGAGGCAGACTGCTCAGCGGCGGGGACAGCACAATTCGGGACGTCGTTACTCGCCACGGCAATGGGGTCGGGGGCGAAATCCTCTGCGGATGGGGACTCGTGCTGTGATGATATAGCAGATGTTTCGGGTGCCCCGGAAACCGTCTCCCTGGCAACTGTAAGAGGAGGGGTACTCTGGATGCAGACATTGTGGGATTTCATCAGTACACCCTGGCCCAGTTGAGGCGCTTCGATCTTACATCACGAACGTTCTCATCTATGGCCACTTGGGACGCTGGACGCTGGATGAAGACATCGTCAGAATCCATCAATACGACCTGGCGGGGTTAAGAGACGAACATGATCGTCTGCCGACTGTGCACGCATCTGGTAGGGTGCCTCGTCGAGGTCCATTGCGAACGGAATATCATGCGAAATGTCTGTGTGCAAGTAAGCATTGCGTGAGCGAGAATTAGGCGAACAAAGGGAGAGACCGTCCGTCTACCAAACGCACGCTTTTTACTTGGTCTACTAGATTTCTTCTTCAGCGCCCTGGTCTTGCGCCGCAGGCTGCCCGCGAGCTGGGAAAAAACGTCAATAGCGATCTGCTCTACCTTCCAGTCGAAATCGCTCAGTTGTAGTTCCGGAAAGCACTCATACATGTGCTTGTAGAGTGCCGCCTTCATGTCGACAGATGCCCCTCCTTTCCAGGTGTCTGGAAGATCATCGCGGCCTCTCAACCACGCCCGCATTTCCGAACGAATCGCGGACGCCCGGTCGCCATCAATAGCGTTGCCGTGCGCGTCAATCACGAATTGCATCGTGACGTTTTCGTTCGCAAATTTGAGGCGTGTTGGGCCCTTGCGGCCCTTTGTGGCACCGGGAACTGTGACATCGTCCGATCGTCTGCAGAGATCGAACTTTCGTTTAGTCCAAAACTTAGCCTATATTTGTTCACCATGAGTTTGACAAGGGATGACCAAGGTGAGAATGTACATACCGCAAGAGGGTAGTCCTGCTCCTGGCGAGGAAGAACCAGGATCTTTCCATCAGCGCCACGCTCCGGAAAGGCCTTGGTGGCGTTTTTGACAGCTGACGTCGGGGTCGACAAATACATCGGAGTGCCTGATGTAAGTATATGCGCATATATGCGCTTAGTATCGCGTCAGCAAATCAGAAAACGGCTCACCGGGGGTTACACTATCAAGTTGCCTTGCAGCCTGTGTGGGTGTCATCCCAGGCAAGAGAGATCCTTCCGAAGGCGTCGTCTGTACAGAGGGCCCTGCAGGCGTTATCTGTATATAATCTACACTGTGAAAATGAATCAGCTGGACCTGACAAGGTGAGAATTGACATGGGATACTCTTGGCTAAGCAATTGAGATCAGAGTAAGGTCGACAGTGAGAATGACAGAATGACACACCTGATTCCATGACTACGGAGCATAGCCTTGAGACGGGCCAGCTCGGCTCGCGTCTGAGCCAATTCGGACGAAGATGGTGCGCAATGGCTTCCCGAGTTCTATGGACGAACTGGGCAGTGTGCGAGGCGCTGGATGAACGAGGATGGCACTTACATCCTTCCCAAGCTCCTGCAAGGAGTTTCCGGCATGAAAACCTCCTCCGAAAGATGCTTCAAACATCTTGAGAATCTTTTCGATGAGTGTATGCACATTTTTAATGTAGTTGGACAGCATGACATACCGACGACGACCCATCAAAGTGGGCACTGCGCTCACGGTGGGCAGCATCTGAAAAGCTCAGAGTACGTGCCAATGGGCTCTCATTTGGTGTAGGAAACATGGTAGGCCTAGGATACAACAGCGGATAAAGTTTGGAGGGCAGCACAATGGAGGGCAGATGCAAAGATGCTGGAAGAAGGACGCTCCATACGCGTCGCAAATGTCGCGTCAGGTCACATGACGGCGAAAGCCTGCCCAGGAAAGGCAAGAACCCGACGCGTCGCAGTGCGGGGCAGCAGATTCTCTTCTTTGTACACCCTTGTCAGCATGTTCAAGACAAATCTACCTGAGGCCCTTATTGCTGCATGGAATTTGCAAAAGGATCTCCACCAAAGACCTGAAGGCAACCGCAAAATTGTTCTTACCAGTCTACTCACTTTGGCCACCACGGCGGCGCGTCTAGCATGCCATCTTGCGCAAGACCGGGGCCCCGATACGATAGACAAATACTGCGTTGTTCAGGAGGAGATTACACAAGCCACCAAGGGGGTGTTGAAGTCATTCAGCACAGTCTTTGATTTCTTCGAGAACGAATCGATGGAGGTACAAGGCCAAGAGATAAATCCCACACCCGACAGCGCCCGGGAGGGCGCCCAGGGGGCTCCGGCGGTCCCCACGGCTTCATCTCCTGCTGGCTTACCTCTGGACTACACCGCCGCGGTCGTGGAGGCTAGCGGTCCTTGTTGCCATCCCTCTACTTTGAACTCATTAGCTGATAAACTCATGCAACCTCTGCTCACGTGTCACAGTTTTCTCGTGCCACGTGACCTGGGGGTCATGTGAACCAGGACAGACGCTCACCTCGACCACGGACAACTCGTATCGGAAAGTGGAGGAGCCAGGATCGAACCCAGGGCCTTGAGGGGTCCGGGAGCGCCCATCTTCACTCACGGACAGGTGACCTACATGCCAGCAGGGGGCGCTTACTCATGAGCAGGAGTCCGGACTTGGCATGACTCAGGTGTTAGTCATGAGGACACCATGTGACAGGTCAGGAGACAGGACACGAGTCAGCAGACTCTGACCAAGCAGGGACAAATAGGTACCTGGTCTGTGCACCGTTGTAATTGTATAAATAGTAGGGGGTCTGAGGCAGGGAACCTCAGACTTGATCTTCTCGTCGATCACCCATCTCTTCTGTAGGTAGCTAGCAGCCCTA